TTTCTTCACAGCGACCTGGTGATTTTTGAAGAGTGGAGTCATCCAAAAAATGTCACCAAAATGATGTGGGTGAAACGGTGAAACAGTGAAACTGACCTAAACAATGCATAAAAATGCATTGTTTAAGATGTATCATTATGTACCTGTATGGGTGTATACTAAACATATCTAACATATCTTTCCAACATTTTCCAACTATATAGATTCTTAGATATGGCTGACCAGATGATTCACAGCCACACCAAAAAAAATCATCGCAGCCAATCCAGCTCGGTGTTTCCAAAGCAGACCTCGCACGCTTTCTCGAAGCCAGTGGCGATGCGTAGAGGATGGATGCCCTTCTCAATGAGGTCAAGGGACTGCCAGACGCCAAGGTAGCAAGGTTCCCAATCTACGGTATATCCAAATCTATTTTGCTAATGGGTGTCTGACAATTCCGGGAAAAATCAACCAATCTATCCAGATATCATGGACAGAACCCGAGTTGTCCGCGGCAATTTTTTTTGTCAACCGAAGCACTAGCCACTTTGGGCCGGCACAGTCTCAATGCTGCTGCGGCTGGGTTTACTTTGAAACCGCTTGGGTGTGGATCAAATTTGGGGCCCAACTTCGGACATCTTTGGTCATGTGGGTAAAGCAATAGTAAACCATCCCCAATGTTCATCAATTGTCCCATGAATGGTATAAACATGTATAAACCACCAAAATATAGGTGGTTTATTGTTTGACGAATATTTACTAACAATACTAACATGATTTCATTTCGGGATACCAAAATCTGACCTTTCGGCCTTTCACAACGATGTCAGGCCCATCCCCTGTCTGGCAAGGGCGGCGGGTCTCCCCGGTCTGATGTGTTGACCGTCACTGCAGGCTTCACATCGACAGGACCTGGGCTCTTCATTTGTGAGGTCACATTGGATCTGGTTGGTGGTGTCCCTACCCCTCTGAAAAATGATGGACTTCGTCAGTTGGGATGATGACATTCCCAATATGATGGGAAAAATATGGGAAAAATAAAAGCCATGTTCCAGTCACCACCAACCAGAGATAAATCGCATGAATCATTGGAACCCAACACAACCAGGGCTTGATCAGAAAAAAGGACACCTTTTTTGGGATAGATCATCCAATCATCCAAGATTTGTTTATGGATAGTGAACATCAAAAGGTGGATTGGGAGTAACGCTGAACAATGACAAAAGATTGGATGGTTGGATGACGCCTTGGATTTAAAACCTGGAGCAAACAAAATGTCATTGCAGATATCTGTTTCAGCCCAAGCCTCCGCTCCAGCCATCTGGCGGTACATTTATCTACTATGGATATCTATACGTATGTACAGGGTATGAGTCAAAACCCTGGTACCTAGTGAACCCCAAATAACTGGTAAATGGATGTTCATCCCCCCAAATATAGCAAGATTGGTTTTGATACATCCCCACATCTCGATACGTCAATATGAATATTCTATCCCTTACCGTCGTAGCCAGGTGTGCCCCGCACCCCGATCTCGGCCGACGCTCGGCTGACCTTCAGCCCAGCCTTTGTAGTTCATGTGGCTTGCTCGGCGCATCTGAGATCGGCGGAGAAACCCGCCGATCACAGGAATGCGGCATCGGTGGACTCAAAATCTAAGTGTATGGCTAAAACCTATTGGAGAATTTAATTCAGTAAAGCATGGTGTCTGCCCAATACAGATTTAAACCCAATTTCAAGTTGATTCTCATGTAAACACACAAAATTAGATGTTGTCCTGCCATCAAGGTATCCAACTCAATGTTCACATGTCACAACCCCCCACACAAAACAAGCAGATCGAACTTCCACTACTTGCTTCATGCCTAAGTGCAAAACATCGGATTGAGGACTCTTTCCCTTACAACTGAGATTTTTGGAGGTATGGGTCACTTCACCCTAGGTCCCTGATTTTTGCACCCAACTTTGGCAATAATTCCAAATGGATCTTCATCTCCCCATCAACCTGATGGTTCCACTGTGTGTTTCCCCCATCCCCACATGCAAAACGGCATCATTGATCTATAGCTCCACATCTCTAAAGTTGTTGGAACCTTCAAAATTCCAATGTTTCTTCGTTCACTTCACAGTTGTCCCCCTGAGGCCAACGCCCAATTGGTCACAAAATACTGTGGATCGGGAGATGACATCGTCTGCAACTGGAGGAGGCAAGAACGGCAAGAACACCCTGAAGTAGACCAAGTTGTGTGACACAAAGGGAAAATGTGAAGATATAGATATATGATATATATATATATAATCACACAATATTATACAATATTAATATCATGAACTCACATGAACTCGATCATTTCATTTTTGTTCAACCTGACTTTTGGTGACCAATCGATTTATCTTCGTCGGCGCCTCCTTCTCTTGAAACCAGGGCCAAAAGCCTGGCTTCCTGCGGATGCAAAGCCTGCATGCTTAATGCCTCTGGGTATTTTATATAATCCAATGTCACCAATATCTGTATCATTGGATATAGCATATGATAGATCTAATAATCCAATGATGCTTAATGATCTATGTCTATATCATTCTATATCTAGGTATTGATATTAGCTATGGAAAATGGCCAAGATCTAGATATTTCATCCTCTTAAAGAGGAAAAAAAAACTCGCAGGAAGCCATGGTTCCCTTAAAACAAATGTGGGAAAGTGTCTAATGACCATAGCTACTGTCTACCGACCATTCCGACCATTGAAAAGTCAGCCACTTGACCACCTCTGGGGAAAAGGCCGATAGATGGACATATGCTGACATATCTCATATGTGTCCCAAAATAGGGGAAGTTCCCCCAAAATAGTACTGTCTGAGTGGAAAATGATGATCATTGGGGAGGCGTCGATTTTGAGACTCCAAATCCCAAAATCTGGAGCTGCCCAAATGGCCGTCCGTCCTTGGTGGCTCAGGTGGTGCTGGAAAAAACTGGCCGTAGGGGTTGTACTCGCCGTTGGCTCCCCGGAATCTGCCAATCAGGCCTGGCTCCGGGTTTTCAGAGAGGTGACTTGTGAGAGTAGCTCAAACTGGAGGCTGGGCTTAGGCCCCTCAAGTAATCAAACGTGGCAATGGAAGATCTCCCATTTATAGTTGTTGTTTCCATCAAAACCTCAATTTAGAGGATTTTCCATTGCCATGTTTGATTACCGGAGGGTAGTCAAATTACATCTTTGACGCGTTTCTTTCTTTTCAAAAAAAATGTACTGTAACGTTTGGTTGTTCCCACTGTCTTTCTATTCCAATGCCAAGGCCAGATCTGAGTCAGCCTGCCCCAGGTCCAAATATGTTCGCAAGGTCTTCTTGCAATAGCTTTTCCCTTTTTCTTTGAAATCTGAGCTACCAATCAAGGGACTCATCATAATCGCTCCAAGCCAACAATCTCAAAGTCTAGCCAAAGTAATCTAAGTACAACATTGTAGCATGGTGTAACATGGCTCAGAGGGTCACATGTCGGCTTTCACCATGACATCCATGACCCCCGCCTGGCAGCTCCTCCTTCGTAGGCTCCGATCTGCCCTTCGCGCCCTTCGCGCCCTTCGCCCCCGCGCCGCCCGCGCCGCCCGCGCCGGCGCCGCCCGTGCCGCCGCCACGCCCTGCGGAAGCACCGCCGCCAGAGCTGCCAGAGCCGCCAGAGCCACCTGAGGCGCCTCCGGCGATGGTGATGAGTTCATTGTGGCTTTGGAAAAATCAGAGATGTCGGTAACAATTCATAGTGCAACTCTGAATTGAACGCTTTGAGACGGGCGCCTCTGAATCTCTTGGCATGTTCCGCTTGTTGCTGTGCAGCAAACGCACGCTCCGCTTCTGTTTGGGCCTTGGGCATCGTTTCTGGTGGTTTCCTGCAGGATGAAAATGTTTCAATGAACTGCACCCTGATCAGTTGCAGTTGGAGGCATCAGAAATCACGTTCCGTTTCCAAGTACCGGGCGCTGCTTTTCTGGAAACGAGGGTCCAAACTGACAGAAGCACCAAGTCTGTCTGGTCTATCTGGAAATGTTGGGCCGGAAATGGACAGTTTTGCTGCTCCTGAAGTAGAAAATGAAAAAGTTATTTGGCCTGTTCACGAATTTGTTGGGACACACCCAAATGACATTCAAAAAAATGAGGGAACATCCTGTAGCAAAAGGCATCTGAAAAAGTTGTCAATGGATCTCAATGGCACATGTGCTTATATGTATTTATGTATGTATATACACACGTCTCAGATTCGTTTCTGCAGCTACTCATCAAGCACAACCGGCACAACCTAGACATTTCCAGCCATCATTTAGTTTCACTGCACAATAGAAAAAACGCCAATGCTCAGCCAAAATCATCTGCCTGCAGTCTGATGTGCAAACGCCGCCATATCGACCTGGTTCCAACTCAAAAGCAATAAGGATTTGGATGATTTTATGATTTTTTTTTGAAGCAAAAAAGGTTCAAAAAAAACGGATAGAAATAGGACATCGACACTTCTGTTTTTGTCATCATTTTGGAGATTTGCGCATGTGTTTGAAGAGATCTGTTTCAAGTAAAACGGTGCCAGCCTGCCTGAGGGGTTGCAGCATACTGGCACTCCACCATTTTGTCTGGGAATCCCATCCTGGCAGGTATTCAGCTCTCCGACCGTTCCGTACAAAGCAGCTCGCTACCCATTTCTTTTCCAAGTGAATGAACTAAAATGTATTTAAAATGTATCACCCAAAAAATCCGCCCTCCTTAGTGCCGGCACCTGTTATCACAGCCATTGCCCTTCGAACCACGCCTCGTCAATGACGACGAAGCTGCTCAGCCGCGCTTTCCGAAACCACAGATCTTCCAGTGGTGCCTTGGTGTCAGCTGACCTGAAGCATAATTGGCCACTGATATCTCATGATAATACCAGTAGCCATAGTAATCACGGTGATAAATATATATATATATATAATAATACAAATATAATAATATATATATATTAACATATTTATATATATACTAATAAAAATATATATGTATATATTAATGTATATATTAAATTCAGTTATGTATATATATATATATATATTAAATTAAGCTAAATATATATATATATACATATGTATTATATCTTATATATCACATATTCTATATAAACATATATCTAAATATAAATATTTATATATATACATATATAATAATATATATGTAAATATATATATATATAATATATATATATTGTATATATATATAATATATATATATATATTGTATATATATATATATTATATGATATATATTATATGATATTATAGATATTATATATATTATTTTCTAAATTTAAGTTATATGTCATAGATATTATAGATATTATAGATGTTATAGATATTATAGATATTATAGATATTATAGATGTTATAGATATTATAGATATTATAGATATTATAGATACTATAGATATTATAGGCATTATGTATGTAGTAAATATATATATATATATTATATTAAATATATATATATATATAGAGAGAGATTATATATATATTATATCATATTATATATATATTATTTATCTTCTATATATAAAATATATTGTATATATTCTAATTTATTAAATACATTGCATATTGAAGATATTATAGACATGATAGATATTATATTTTTTTAAATATATATATATATATCTTATATGATTCATAATATATATACTATATATTATATATTACAGATTATATATATACTATATTTTATACATTAAATGTTATATTATTGATATATATATACATACGTTTAAAAAAAAAAAAAAAACTATTCTATATATATATAATATATATATAAACAAAGTATATTTTTATAATATATGTAATTTAAATTACATTTTATATATTCTATATATTGTATATAATATATAAATAATATATTATATACACAATATCTCTTTTATACAGATGATCTATATTATATAGTTTATAAATATTATATTACAAAAATACATGTTATATACCTTTTATATTATATATATATGATCAATAGCTAACTAATAGGTGATAATCATAAGCCATCCTTGAAATCCCTGATGCTTCGGGACCCAAACGAGATCCCCAAAGACAGCGTTCAGGTGGATGTGCAAGGGCATCAAGTCTCCAGGGCCTGGGAGGAAAACAACGTGACGACGTTCGACGGCACCCAAGTTGTGTTATTTATATGGGGATGGGCCAAAACCCTGGTACCCCTGGTGAACATCAAAATAGCTGGTAAATGGATGTTCATCCCACTAAAAATGGTATGTATAGGTATTGATCCATAGCCATATCTATTAAGCCAGGGTTGCTAATATTTGTTCCACATCTATGTTAGTTTGCCAGAGGTTATTATTATCGTGCATCATACCCTGGGTAATATATTCATAATGTCATCAATAAACAACAATAAACATCAATAAACTACCTTTTAAAGGAAGGTCAAGCCTTACGGCCAATGCTGTCACACTCTGACTCTGTTGGACTGCGATGATGTGACTTTCGAGGGTTGGCACCCCGCCTGCGGCATCCCACTTGGCTCATGGGATGTCGGTGGAAGTAGTGGCTGTAGCATTATTTCAGAAAGTGTAAAACACCGCTTAGAGATTGAGACTGTGACATAATAGTGTCAGACACTGGTTATATCATATACATACTTGCATAGTTCATTGACTCAAGTCATGCAAGTGTCCAGCTCAAACCTTTCTCGGTGCGACTCGATGTGCCCAGGATGTCGTCCATGCATTGATGCAGCTGAACGCGCTGAATAAGCTTGGCCAGACAGTTGCGGAGGCTCCAGCTGTTCTTGGTGAATTGGAGACCCTTCAAGAAACGTCCCTAGATGACACATTTACAGTATATCAAATTAATAAATTACATATAAGCGAAGGGTCCCTACCAGTGTGATCAATTCACAATACATACATACATACACACATACATACATACATACATACATACATACATACATACATACATACATACATACATACATACATACATACATACATAGATACATAGATACATAGATACATATATACATACATACATACATACATACATACATACATACATACATACATACATACATACATACATACATACATACATACATACATACATACATTACATACATTACATACATTACATACATTACATACAATACATACATTACATACATTACATACATTACATACATTCCATACATTCCATACATTACATACATTACATACATTACATACATTACATACATTACATACATTACATACATTACATACATTACATACATTACATACATTACATACATTACATACAATACAATACAATACAATACAATACAATACAATACAATGCAATGCAATGCAATACAATACAATACAATACAATACAATACATACATATATATAATGTATTATCTATATATATATACATTCATACATATATATATTCATACATATGTATATATATATATATGTAAATGAATATATATATATATAAATACACATACACAGTACATGTATAAGTTGGTTTTCTTTGTGTTGTTCCTTCGTGGTCACTGAAATCCTGTTGATCCTTCCAGGTGATCAAAATCATGGGTCCAGTGGAACTCCGCACCTTTTTGGTAAACAAAACCCAGTAAACCTCTTGCAAACGGTCAGCAGCCATTGCCAATTCAAATTGTACCAAAGTTGGTATTGCGCGTTTGTGTTCTTGAGATATACATATATATATACAGTATATATATATATATGTATATCTCTCTTTCTCTTTGTGTCACAATTTATATCCATCTTTATCCATCCCTTTTGCCATGAAAAAGGGGACCCCAGGTATCCCCAGGTGAAATGCCGATCTCCAGCCTTCTCCAGCAGCGCTCCAGCCATGACCACCACTCCAGTGGTGCCATCGCCAATCTCGTGGTCCTCGCGACTCCGTCAGGGCGAAAAAAAAAAAGGGATAGATGAGACACCTATTTCGCGATAATCATGGGATATATATTTCAAAAAAAAAGGATAGAATGTGATAGAATATGATAGATCAACTTAATATGATATTTCGGTTTGGTACCTAAGATTTTGAGATTTGGGTTCGGTACCTGACATGATGGGGGGAAGAACTTCTCTATTTCAACATCATTTTCCCAGTGATCTATAATTGTTGGCCAGAAACCAGGGTTTATTCCCCAATTTTCAGACACAACCCATGTGGCCCGTGGATGACCCACTTCAGCTGTTGATGGATGAGGTGGTCTGTTCATAGCTCTGGTGGTCAACAATGGTAGCCCTCCCCATCCCTACCTGAGATTTGGAGAGCTCTACTAGCAACTTGGCAATCTGGTGATTGACGTCCATCTTCTCTAAAATGGTGGCCCCATCGTTCGTGACGGTCACATCCTGCGGGAAAGCGAGGGTTTCAGACCAGCAACGGTCTCAATTTCTCCCAGTGCCCGGCAGTGCCCGGCAGTGCCCGGCAGTGCCCGGTCCCCGTCAGGGCCCACCACCATCTTGTCCATCCCTCGAGGTCCCATCGAGCTTCTTACCTTGGTGGGATTGGCTGAGGGCTGGGTATACTGTCTGGGTGATTCCTAGTGGATGTGATTCCTGGAGACCTCCGGCATTTTGTAGATTCGATGTTCGCCACGCACAGAGATGCGCGTGGCTAGGACAAACTTCATCATTGCTACTTGGGGAATTCTGCAGTATTTGGCGCGGTCAATCCTATTGGTGAAGTCTTTTCTGCAATTTGCGCCGCGGCCCGGGCAGAGTCAGAAACTGCCTTGGCCGCAAGAATGTTCGCCTGGCCAAGACAGCCACAAGGACCTCAAGACTATGATTGCTATGGAGTTGCAAGAACTCAGCTCTTGGCAATTCTATTAGAAGAACAATGAACTCATACCTTTGCACCACAAGAAAAGCATTACCAAGTCTTCCAGCAATCAAGAACAGGCGACTGATCGCACATCAAGATTCTGACTTGAAGCTGACCAGGGTGGACCACACGATTTCCCAAACTGGGTGCAGGTCAAACTGGCAGAGGTTTCGTTTTGGGATTTCATAGGGCCGGGAACAAAAATGACCTATCCGCACGCCTTGTGAGCGTCCAGCCCCGAGAGTCGCTTTTTCTTCGCCTGCTCCTGCACAAATGTTGAATTTTTCAGCACCCAATGAATTGATCCGGTTTTGTTCTGTGATTACCATTGCGATGGCATTTTCGAGGTGGAAGTTGCAGGATCTTCCGTTCATCAACCCATCGAAAAACATGGCATCACGGAGGAATGACATATTGTCTGACACAGCTTTCCCTCGTGGGGATGATTCCTGGCACTTTCCATCCCTTTTCTACTCCTCTACTAGTAGCTTATCACCCAGCTTCCCTGGCAGCCCCCAGCACTTTTTTTAAAGGCGCGATCAAAATTCATATCAGAATTTCTTGGATGCATTTGTTCAGCATTTGTTCATTGGTCCAACCATTTTGCGGCCAATTAGTTGGGGTCGATTCTTCGAGGGGACGCCCCCAGCGGGCTCTGAAGCACGCGCTTGGAAGGGACGTGGGGCTCCCGGCACAACTGGTGCAGTTGGTGCCCCATGGTGGCGCACCCCTCCGGGTCAGCACCTTCTATGACGATGCAAAGCGCTTAAGAAATATTTAGAAATGATGTCTTTGAACGACACAAAGGGGCGCAAGTTTTTGGGGTGAGATGATGGTGCTGTCGATTTTCCAAATGGCAAAAAGGTATCTGAGTTTTAATGACTTACTTATATGAGTCATATGTTTTTAAGCTAAGTGACTTATATATATATATACACAATATGTATGTATGTATGTATGTATGTATGTATGTATGTATGTATGTATGTATGTATGTATGTATGTATGTATGTATGTATGTATGTATGTATGTATGTATGTATGTATGTATGTATGTATGTATGTATGTATGTATGTATGTATGTATGTATGTATGTATGTATGTATGTATGTATGTATGTATGTATGTATGTATGTATGTATGTATATGTATGTATATGTATGTATATGTATGTATATGTATGTATGTATGTATGTATATGTATGTATATGTATGTATATGTATGTATATATATATATACACACACGTGTGTGTGTGTGTGTGTGACTTATATGACTTATATGATTTATAGATTCCAACCTTCTCCCTTGCATCGCCTGGAATCGGCATGACTCTGGTCAGATCAAGCCGTAGGCACGTCCCAGGTCGACTGCCCTGTCTCTTTGTTCCAGTAGTAATGCGTACCGTACTGGTCACTCCAATGCTTCTCCCAGTTGGGAGGCAAACTATCACGCCCAGATCCTGCAGATGGCTGGGAAAGAGGGGAGATTTGCTGCGTCAGTGCTTCATCTACAATTGTTGCCAGAGGGTTCAATGACGCTCTGGTATCTGCCTTGTGACAGGCTCTCACGTCTCCCAACACAAGAAACTCACGGAAAAAAATGCAAAGAATTTCCATCTTGGATCATCTTGGTAGATTTCAGTGTGCATGGGCCGCTATTTACGTCATCTGCATCTTCCCAATGCTGACCCCCTCAACCCACTCCTGCAGGTGCTGAGGTCTTCTGTCTCTTGCCCTCAGGCGCCTCAGAGCCTCCGGGACGCTTTCGCGTCATTTCGGCGGCAGAGCCCCGCGTGGGCGCGCGGAAGGCCGTGAAGGGTTCGCTCTTGGATCTCCCCTTGCCTTTGGCTTCCTTGGAACTTTGACCTCAGACTACGGCGGATCACTGGGACTGGGGATGGAGGGGGCCGGATAAAGAGAATAAGGATGGGTCAGGAAGAAATGAATGGCAGCTCTGCTTCTCGGAAAAGCGAAGCTTTTTGGAATTGCCCCACTTTTGATGGCATCAATTCCTTTGATGGCATCAATTCCTGCTGCTGTTGTCAACACCCTCCCCTCTGCTGGCCCTTACTGGTACTCTGGAAATATCGGATCATATCAGTGCAGGCTTGCGGCCAACCAAGCCTTGGGACAGCGACTATGGTAAATATGATCTCACTTTTCTAATCGGATGCGAATGGAAGTTGGCCAATTTCAGCTCAGCCGCTCTTGCCACCTCCCTCCTTTGAATCTTTTGCATTTTTACCTCTGGAGCCATCTTCTCTGCTCCAACTCTTCCCTTTGCCACTGTCACCCCTGTCACCCCAGCGTCTGCTTCGCTCAGCCTCGCTGATCTTGCTCTGAGCAGCCCGGGGGACCGCCGAAACACTGCTCGTGCTAGGGCTGGAATAGCTGGTCTTGGGGCTCGGCCGGGGCGTATGACCGTAACTCCCCCGGCCATTTTCGGTCGACTCAGAGCTTTTCTTCCAACTGTCCTCCTTCCAGGATCCCTTTGAGTCCCATTTCTGGGAATTTTGGGCTTGGGACCGCCCACCGGTATAGGCAGCCACGCCCTGCTTCTCCCAGTTGGAATTGGATTCCCAGGACTTTGAGCCTGAGGATTTCCACTTGTCGTCCCGATCGTTTCGATTGGAATCCTGCTTTGAGTCCCACTTCGAGGAATTCCACTTGTCATCCTTACTCTGCTTGGAATTCCACTTGTCATCCTTACTCTGCTTGGAATTCCACTTGTCATCCTTACTCTGCTTAGAATTCCACTTGTCGTCCTTGCTCTGCTTGGAATTCCACTTGTCATCCTTAGTCTGCTTTGACCACGAGTCCTTGGAATTGTTCTTTTCATACTTCTCATTCTTCCCATAGTTGTCGTACGACTTGTCGTATTTGTCATATGACTTGTCGTCGTACTTTGTCTGCTTGCTCTCCCGCCCCCAGGTTGAATCTTTGGACCATTTGTTTGGCTTGTCATTTGAGTCCTTGTAGGTCACTTTTCTACTTGACTGCCACTCAGAGTACTCTGAACGTGGCTTTGGAGTGTGGTACTCTTGCCGTTCCCATCTGCCGCCCTTGCCACCTTTCTCGCTATCTTTCCGAGATGAGCTTCCCCAGTATTGATAGGTTCGTCCTTTGGATCCTTTGGATCCTTTGCCTGACCGTCCTTTTCCTTTGCCCTTCTCTCGCACTTGCTTGGGAGGCGGGGCATCTGCGGGGTCTGGCGGTTCACCCTCTTTCTGCTTGTAGGGGTTATCCTCCTTCTCATCTCCGCGAATCAAAATTCGGCATTTCACGGTGTCCGAGTGCTCAATCTTGTCCTTCTTCTTCATGGCGGTAGCAACACCCTCATCGATGGATTCTTGAATGATGCTGTTGTCGATGTAGTTGTCTTCAATCCTCCAATTGGTGCAAGGTCAACCCATGGAATGATATATATATATTATTATATATATGGTTTTGTCATGCTTTGTCTGAAAAATGGGACGAACTCCCACTTCCAAATTGGAAATCCTGTTTCCCGTGAACTGTAATCTTGGGGTAGAACGGATATCATGACCCCTTGCCATATGTGCCATGGTCAAGCTCGATGGGATGAAATGGCTTGTTGTCCCACCATCATTGGGGATAACGGGTATATATATATATATATAAATTCCTAGTGGATTGATGACCATACTCCAATCTGGATTAATCTAACAGATTTTTTGGCTATGGCACATATCATCTTTTTGCTTCGGGAGCATTTGGATTCACCGATTGCAGGTAACTCAAAAGTCCCCATAGGGAGAAGAAAAGGGGAAGCATGTGCCAACAGCCTTGGAAGCATCAAACGATGTGGCGAAAAACTGTGAAAATCATGGAAAAATATGGAAAATGTATATCTTCTCCGATTTGGAGACCAAATCTTGAAACGCTTCGTGTCACTTTCAGCGTCCTCAAATAGACCGGCAGCTTGCCCTCGTCCGGCTTTTTGGGGTCATCTGCCGGGAAGGTTCCGTTCTCACTGAGGGCTTCCTTACATCAGGAGAATGTGACAATGTTCAGCAACCAAAATGGGATATCACTATATATATATATATATATATGTGCGCTATATATATATATCACTGATATCACGACAAATCTACATGAAGATTACTTTCCCAAGGCTGACAGAAAGACAGATTGCTTGCAGGTAACATATAGTGAGCGACATAACTGATTTCATCATATTTGTTTAGTGGTTTTGTAAATAGTATGGGGTGTTTGCACCCCATGACGGGAGATATCACCCACCACAAATGTCTACATGTGACACCTTGCGAAATTCCATCTTGGCTCTCCTGAACGCTATCAATCAGATAAGCCGGAAACAGCATGACTTGTCGTGGGTCAAAAGCCACCCTGTACTTCACAAACAAATTGTCGGTTCTTTCTTGGATCTTCATCCCCCCTTCATATGATATAGGTCCTATAGGTTGTGATATATGTTTTGATCCGTTCTGATCAAACGCAAGAGGGATACCCTCTGGTAAAATGGCCAGTTTTATATAGTGGGAAAATCATCCACAGAGGGATAGCCATCGCCACCAAGCAACCATGATAGCCTTGAAACCTACTGCGGTAATCGCGCAGTCGCTGAGATGAAGCTCAGTTGGAGCTGTCTCAGGCACCACACCTACAAAAGGTCACGCACTCATCCCTGTTGGTTTTGATGCCTTCAAAACTACAATATACCCATATTATATATATATATATTATATATATATAATTATATAATATATATATATATACAACCTGGCTTGACCCTGATTCAGAATATCTATGAAATTGGAGTACAAAACGGCACTGGCTTCACCACTCATTTCGTCTCCCCAAGCACTGCACGAACGCGATCGGAACGCCTTGTAGCCAGCCCGACAGCATCACGGCTGCCGCATCGTCCAAGGTCGGAATGCCAAAGGCTCTGAGACGTTCGATCTGCACCGTGGTGTCCGTGAGCAACGAGAACATCATCTCAATCTGCTCATTGGGGATGGGATTCCTGATTCACCGTGGATTCACCAAAACACTTTCGGCAGGGATGGGTAAATGGAATACATTGGACCATTCAATGCATGAGGTTAGACGGTTTACCTTCAGACAAAGCCTAATATGATTAAATATGATTGATATATGGCCAGAAAAGTGATGTGAAGATATGTGAAGTACTAGCCATTTTTGGGGGGAAGCGTTTGGACGCACAGATTGTTGTCCACTTCTGTCCAGTTCCAACCCGGGTGAACGATGGGTGCGGGAAACCACCAGGAAAGGCCCTGAATTCCGGTCCAAGAGACTGAGAGATATCAAAGTCTTCAAAGACCAGCATTTGGTCGTTTTCCTTCGCCTGGATATGTTCAATGCGTGTGTCTGAGTCTCTGTGAGTTAGGTAGATTGTGATCCCCGACTTCACAAACTGATGAAAAATTTGTTGATATTGGGGTGCCAGGGATCGCCGGGGTATCCGGGGTTTGACCTACACGCACATCTTACTAGCCTGCTTGACGAAAATCTACATCTTACTAGCCTGCTTAACGAAAATCTATATGCAACACATGCACTGCTTGCATCTGACTGGCGGATTGCAATCGATGCACCACAGAAAACTCTCGGAAGGGGATCATCCCGAGACTATTATCCTTGCTGATTCATATCCCAAAGACTCACTTGTTTTTTCGCTCATGTAATTTCATTCTGCAGAAACTATCTTCACACAGGAATTTTAAATAGAACCCAATTATTACATTTTACTCTAAGTATTCCTCAGTTTCTTTCCTGTCCTTGGGGTACCTGGCCACTACCTCCACCGCATGGCCTCTTCGATCTGTTTGGCCAGTGCGTCGCAAAAGGCCTCAGCATCTTTCGCTGTCCTGCCGTACAGCACCAAAAATCCAAGGGGTGCCCTTTCGACCTTTCGAAAATCATGAAATCATGAAACTAAACTGACTAAACTCTTCTAAAAGGGAGGATTTATGAAGTCTCCAACGTATGGGTCTGTCTAAAAATGGTTTGGATCTGCAGGCACTTGTGACTGCGGCCATTACGATGATTTGGGCCGTCCAAATTTTGGGGCTCACGAGATTTTCACAACGGCAACATCTCGGATGCTTCCACTCCTCAGGTTCTTCCCCAACCCCAACCCCTTCCCCAACCCCCAGCTTTCCCCCAACCCAAGCCCTAGCCACATCCGCTTCAGCGCCTCATCTTCTGTCGGAGCCGCAGCACGTAGCGACCTTCTCCTCAGGTCAGATTCCTCCTATAGGATTAGTATGCATGATCTATGAATCATGGTGTTATAGTGTGTGTGTGTGTGTATTATATTATATATATATATATACAGTGATATTCATTGTTTATATGTTATAACTGTTGTGTGGTGTGTATATATATATATATAGAGAGAGAGAGAGAATTGTAATGTAATGCAATGTAATGTAGTGTATTTTGGTGTGGTGTAGCGTAGCGTAGCCGTAGCGAAGGGTAGTGTAGCGTAGGGTAGTGCAGTGTAGTGTAGTGTATGTAACATATTCATCGTAACGTAACGAACGTAGCGTGTGGTAAGATTAGATGAGATAAGCTAAGATACGGTAAGGTAAGGTATATATTTATGTATATCTCTATCTGTCTATGAATGTGTATATATATACATATATGTTATAAATGATGTTTACAGTATATGCGTATTCATGTCCTGATTTATATTCCATGTTCAAAACTATTTATAGATAATAGTTTTTATAGTCCATGTAATATATGTATATGTATGATACATATATACAATATATATATATACATATATATATAATTATACATCGTCCATATTTGGCCCCAGAATGGAATCACCAACAACCAGCAGCAAAAAGGGTGGCCATGTCCAAATGATCAACGCAACACGGCACTGGTTTTTTGGCCTCGGCCCTGGCCCGTTTCAAAAAGGTCAGGGGAACCCATCCCAATTCGCCCAAGGGACGAACTTTCCAAAAGGCGCGTTTCAACCACCACGGCTGAGATGGAGGTTTCTCATCAAGGACCTGCTGAAGTTCCTCCTTGGCCGGAAACTGGGAAACTCACTCGCCATGCTTTTCTCAAAAGAAAAGGGGCTCGCCATGTATCTTGTTCAATTCTGGGAATGGTGGTTTTGAAGCCAACCTGAAAATATGAAAGTCACCCCTTTTGCTGGTCGCTTTTGGCAGTTGACATACGGCAGATCATTTTTTCTACGAACCCTGTACAGCTGGGGCCACTTTACCAGTAAACCCATGGGACAAGCCATTTGTTGGTACAACTATCACAGGGATGCCCAGGCATATGAAAAGTCAATCAGGATCATCATCTCAAACTTGGCTGAATCTGCCTAGGGATTTTGTGGTGGCAAATAACGCCAGAATCCATTGGTGTCGAATGTTGTCGAGTCAGTGGGCGGGCATTTGCCACACCAAAGACAAATTTATAAAACCTGAACGCAAAAAAGATGCTATTTAAAAATATATATATATATATAATTATATCTGGAAATGTCAGCTTTTTAGAAGCCAGAAAATTGAAAAACAAACACATTGCTCAGAAATGAAAGGATGGCAAATGCAAGAAAAATCCGAAATGAATAAAACTCTGAGAATACTTGCTTGAAAAGAAATGACATCCAAAACCTGTTTGAGAGGAAGACAGTTATAAGAAATGCATTTGACAGAAAAACATGTTTTCAAATGCAGTTTTGAAAAGAGAAAAAAATGTCTTGCCAAAAGACAAATGCTTTTGGGCGGCGTTTTCGGATTGACAAAAATATTCTCCGCTTTTGCCAAGGGCAAAATGGAGGGCATCCACAATAGCTGCAGCAATGAAGCGCTACATGTTTTGGTTCGGACACACCTTGAGAGAAAGTTTAATGAATAGCAAAATGCATTCCAAAACACTCATTTGAGCGCTGGCCCTCTTCCAGTTGGTATAAAAAATGTCAATGGATACTTTTTTGCTGGTCTGATTTTTTTCGTGAGCTGTCAATCCCGGTCTGTACAAGAATTCTTGGGGTGTCTTTTCTCAGACGTATATAATTAGACCAGGCTACAGCGTAGTGAATGGTCCACAACAAATTGAACATTTTGATAAAGAAAACATGTCACGAAATCAGGGTAATTTCCGTGCTGAGCCACAAATTCCTCCGGAACTTCAGGTGCGTCCAATTCATCCAGCTCCTCAACGCCATGGTCGATTTCCAAGGCCTCGGCTTCCACGGCCTCCGCCTCCGCGTCGAGGTCCGGGTCCACAGCATCTTCGAAGGTTTCCTCGGCCTCGGCCTCAGCCTCCGCGGCCTCGGGGTCGGCGTCCTCCATGGTGTCCTCGAAGACTTCGGCCTCGGCCTCGCCCTCGGCATCGTCGGCGGCCTCGGCCTCAGCGTCCTCAGGCTCTGCCTCGAAGGCTTCCTCGAAGCCCTCCTCGGCTTCCTCCATGGCCTGACAAGGCGATGCTTTCGATGTTTCTAAGACCTCTACTACTAGGAGGTTCTCATAGTTTCTCTCTTCTTGAAAATGATATGCAAGCCTCGGTTTCGTGATAGCTTCCACAGCTATGAAGCCTCATGACCATGATTCTTCAGCAGAATGAAAATGGCAGGCTCATGTGCCCTCAGTCATCCAGGCTCCAACAGTCTAAACGATTGCTTGCTGTTAATTCAAGTCGAGCATCAGTCTCCAAAATACCAATTCCCCTAGTCCCGCTTTTCTATAGGACCAAAAGAGCACTATCCCGGCTATCCGCTTCTAGGACAAAACCTTTTCTCTGAAATGATGGTTCTAGAATGGGTTGAATGAAGAAATCACCACATCTTCAACCCAGGTTTCCTTGGTTGTTTGTTGATCCACCAAAAGTGAATGATCCGTGTGTGTGTGTGTGTTTGCTCATGTTTTGAACAAACTCACTTCTCCCCCCAAACAGAAAAATACTATGTGATGATATTAAAACGTTTACTGCAGCCATGTTCTGTGTATAACATGTATAGCAATGTTTTGTGTATAACTTGTATATAATGTGTGTATATATATATATATTTACACACATATGACAATATATTTCATATTATCCATGTGGATCTATGTGGATACTATTGCACCTGGATAACCTAGTCTCAGACAGCAGCTTCCTACCTCGTCTTGGGGGAGCTCTTCGGCAATATCTTCCTCCTCCATGGCACCCTATGGCACCTGTAGATGGCTGGATGACGTCTTTATGGATGGATGGTTGATGGTTGGATGATGCTGAATGATGTTGGGATGAACTGATACCTCATGGTCATCTTTCACCGATTTCACACCAGAAACATCAAGGATCAGCGACTTCTGTTGCACATGGGGTCGTGCAACACCCCAGAGCAGCGGGCAGGGGAAGAGTTGGCTCTGGTCGATATCGTGAAGTACCTAACATTTTTTGCACACATTGAAACGATATCAAAGGATCATCTTTCTTCCATTCAGAATTATGGGTCGAATGATCAAGCCTCCAAATAAAAGGGAGAAAAATCAGCCATGAATAGCCCATCAATACCAAGACATACCAAGTGGATCAATTTCTGCAGCCAAGCCTCCCCAGCCCAGTTCGGCTGGAACTGCTGCGGTCTGTTGCTTCGGCCGACTCTGAACCGCTGAGGAGCCCAAGGGTTCCATTGGAACAGTTGGTATTGGACAAACCTAACATCTCGGTAGATATTTGGATCCCACTTTTTGTAGATCTACTGATGTCTTTACATATTGTCAGAATTTATGGCGGGCGTGTTCATTCCGAAATAGCTGGTGATTGTAGATGTGAATAATCCCCAAAGTGATAGGTTTTGACCCGTTCCCGTATTTGCAAATAAGTATGTTTTGGTACAAAGGTGTTTCTTTTCTGATGCGCCACTGATGGGTAATATCCCGCAACTCGTCTGGATATATAGAGACCGCCGTGGCACAGCTCAGTTTCAGGTCCTCCAAAATGATGAATGGATTGCCTGGGTGCCAAGAACTTGGGCGGCTGTCTGACATCTGGATTCCAATGCTTCATGATCAGATCAAGAATGACGTGAACCGTGCAAGTTAATATTGGCTCAGGGCCCCATGAAATACAGATTGCTAGTAGTGTTCATAGAAACGTGGTAAACCCAGACCATATCCAAGTTGACCCACCCATCAGTGCGCTAATAGGTAGATAACCGAAAAATCCGTCGAAGCCAAGGCAAGCGAATGTCCCATTCAGCCCAGTGACCATACTCATCGACTGCCAACTGCCCCACTGGCGCTGACATGACCCTAGGAGAGACCTTGGGCGGGTCGCATCTCTGGGTGCCGACTTTCTTTTAATGTGGTACCCTCTGGTAATTTAACATAGCTATGGAAAATCACCATTTTTAATGGGAAAATCCACTATTTCTATGGCCATTTTCAATAGCTATGTTAGTTTACCAGAGGGTATACGACTGGAGAGGAGCAAGTGGCCACCAGCAGCTCAATGCCAACTCGCAGCCAAGCAACTGGAAATCGCAACTGGAACCGGATAAGGCCACGCACTGAAAACAATCCCCCCCGGTGTGCGCGTTTCTCTGTTCTGAAGCCAAAGTGGATGTAGCACATCAATGGATCAGGAGATTCCCACCCTGATATTTTGTTCTTCCCAGGCATCCCATTGCTGGAAAAAAACTGTTCACCATTCTACAAGCAGTCACATGAGAGTGTCCAAAAGCGGAATACCCTTCTGAATACCCCAACTGTTGGTTTCCTGCATAGCAAACCATGGATTGGTGGAAATGGGAGCCCCAAAATTCTTAAGTTCTTGGAAGCGAACCACCTGACACGAGCCTTGCTAGACTCCAAAATGTCCCAGCAGCTTTTGGTCTGAAGTAGACTGTACCGGTGCTCAAGCATTGAGCTAAGGCAGCTAAGGTTGGAATTCCACATGCCCTCTGCTTTAAAAAGGCAGGTTCACAGCAATCGCACGCGGCGGAAGCCCTAAAAAAGCCAGTGTGTGTAGACACGACCCAAAACATCTCCTTCCAACGGGTCATGTGAACTGCTGTTGCCCATCTTTAGTCTGAAAATGTGCCTTTTTCAACATCAAAAGACACAACTTCTGAACCCCTTTGGGATGGGAGGTGGGTCCCCAAAAGTTTTTTGGGGCCAGGGTCAGCTGTCGATTCTACTGTGCACCATGGGCCTTCAAGACCGCCATAGTGGCTTCCTGGCGATTCTGTGTGGCTGCACCTAAAGGTGTGAGACCCTGAGCGTTCGGCTGATTCACATTGGCGCCCACCTTCAGCAGGTACCTCGGTCCAAAAGCGACGCCAATTGGAGGGCTCGGCTCGGAAACAACATCTTCAACATCAAATTCACGAAGTAAACATCCACAATTCTATACCATAGTCCTTGTTACGCAGCCTGAAAATTAAACAACCATTCAATGACCCAAATTCTGCTATCCCCATGTATATCCCAACGCCTCAACTCCTTCACCAGGTGACTCCAAGAGTTCCTTTCGGCCATATCCCGCTGCGTAGTGCAGCCCGCTGTTGCCTGAGCTGTCCACGGCATAGGGATTGGCGCGGCTGTCCAAGAGGAGCTTCACCACAGCGATGCGGTTGGCACCGATGGCATAGCCCAAGGGAGTGATGCCCTTGTAGTCCTGGCGGGTTTCCATAGCCATGGAGGTATAGCTGGACAATGTTCTTGATGGGAAAATCCGTCGATGATTTATGGTACCCCCATGTTAGGAAACCTCCATATGGCTATGGATACCTAGTAATCTGCTGCTCATAGCAGCTGCTACTTATGGAATTTAATCCATATAGCATCATGCGTACCCATAATGGAAGGGGCCCATACCCATATGGGGAGGGTCCTAAAATGGGGGACTCCAAGACCACCCAAGTTCTCGTTCATGTTGAATGGCGAAACCGATGGTGATACGCACCCCATATGGGTCAGGGCTCGCCATGGACATACACATGTAACCCCATTGTAAAAAAAAATGGATGATTCAAACCCATACATTAATCATCTGGGTCGAAAGTGGGGGTGTCTTCAAGAGTGGGGTTGTCTGAAGAGTCGGTAAACCCATCACCAAAATCACATTGTTTGGAAACATATCAGCATTTCTTTGCCAAACCCAAGAAAAGGTAAAAGGTATGGGTCAAATATATATATATATATACATACATACATACATACATACATACATACATACATACATACATATTTGTATACATATATATATATATACGTATATACACACACGCATATACATGTATAATTAATCATGTATATACCAAATGAAGCCACAAATTTTGTTTAAGATCTGAAACCGTCCATGTTTGGTGGGTCGATCATATCAACCCCATACCCTAATGTGCTTGCATGTGCAACCTGGTTTGTGAGTGGACAGTTGAAATCCATAACTAAGTGGATTGATGCCCAATGTCGCCCTCATAGAACTGTGTTGAAAACGGCGGGTGCTATATATAACTGAATATATGAATGGTATAGCAAGTGAGATGCACTTCAGTTCACACTGCGATCCCTTGACAAAACGCTTCACAGTTTGTTCCATGTTCATTCCCCCCATCAACCCATCCTGCAGGATGGTATCGTGAAAGAAAACAGGAAGTGTTTCACAATCGAATCATAGAATAACATTTCGAATATTTCAAATATGCACCCACAATTGCTACAACGAACATGTTGGATCAGGCGTGAAGTGGCTAAGCAACCAAAATTTGTGGGTTGGGTTGCTGCGGCCGTGAGAAGCATCATTTGGACTTGAAGTACTGCTGAGATCGACACCTTGCCACAATCTCAAAATCCCCGAGGAAATACACATTGTAGAAGTGAGGTCGCAGATGCTTCAGGTGAGATGCTGCAGAGAGTTGAGTTTTGTATTCCCCGGGCAACAGATTCCAGAGGTGAAGTTGCACAACTGTAGCCACTTTCAGTGTGTGTGTGTGTCCCATTCGATTTTGTATTCCCTTCATATCAAGCTCAGCAGATCCACTGATCTGGCTGATCCGGGTCAATTATAATAATTCACTCACCTTCAAACTTTGGCCATTTGGGGGTAATTTCCCCATAATTCCCGATTTTTTTATACCATTATAAACCATAATTTACCCAGACTGGACTGATCTCCATCCCCTGGTGTGACCTGACTGTCCAGCGGTTTTTTCTTGTCCAGGAAGGTCTGTACCGCCTGAACATCACCGCGCTTCGCGGCCTCGTGCAGCGTCATGGCCGTGTCCTCGATCTTCTGCAGCACCGGGTTCAGCTCCGATGGCAGACCTCACAGGGAATCCCCCAGGCGCCAGGAAACCATAGGAAAACCCATGGAAAATATGGGGAAAACATGGGGAAACCACCATGTTAAGGTAAAAATGAGTGAGAGCATGTGAGAGCAATGGTGATATGCCAGTGCATTTGGCACAGTGAAACCACTGTTTAAGAATCTGCTGCAATAAGAACTTCAGCGGCTGGATTGCTGGATTCAACCCTTTCTGTCAGCTAATTGAAATAGGAGCCCTAGGGTACCCTGGAATTCTAGCCGCTGGTTCTTATTCCCCTTTAACGGGCATCAATATACCAAACATTGATTATTTGCAGCTATTTCCCAAAAGAACGGTTCTGTGCCGCGGAACTTCCACGCCGATGACAAATATGGTGCGACCCCAGTGAGATTCAAACCTTTACACAATCACGAAGGCTGCCATCGAGAGCTTCAGCCAGACACCAGCCGGACTCACTGAAGGTCATCTGGCCTCGGAGGCTGCCCTTGGCTTGTGTTGGCTTGTCTTGGCTTGTCTTGGCTTGTCTTGCGTGCTGCCTTGTTTCGGGCGCCCAAAGCAAAAACAAACTTTCGGGACCTTATTTTTTTCCCCCTCCCCCCGCCTCCTTTGCAGCCTAATACGCGCCAAAATGAACTTTCAAGCCCTGCCATGATGGAATATCTGGCCTATAGCTCTGCTTGGATGATGATGATGATGATGATGATGATGATGATGATGATGTGATTCAACTGGGCCAGGCTGACTACGGCCTAGGTCCAGTGTGGATCCAAACTAAACTGCTACTGCGGCAGACGCTACGTGGGTGTCCCACATGATCGCCACGTGTCGAGCCCACGCTAACGCCTGGGCTGCCCAGTTCTCAGCGTGGCGTTTGGCGGTAAGCCATGCATTGATTCTGTGGAGTTCATGCAGTTTGCAGCACACGTGTCGCCGCACCATCTGCAGCATGATTCAACTGGCGTAACTCATCTGCGTGACCAACTGTAGGTCGCCACTCTGGCATGCGCCCGTGGGCAGGCGTCCACTCTAGGAGCAATTGATACCCATGTTTAAGGAGTTGAGTGCGGGCCGTTTGGAAGGCCTGCCAGCATCTATGTCGTTGTGTGGGCGGATGCCCCGTCAAAAACTGTATGGCGGACTTACTGTCCACTGCCAGGATTATGTCAGGACTACATCACCAGGGTTTACCTTATCGTGGACAACAGGGGCTGGGACTATGGGTAAATTGGGATGTGGTCCTAATTGGGGTAATCCTTCGGCAACAAGGATTATGGCCGTTAGTTCAGCAGCAAATGCTGTGGTATCTTCACCGTGGATTGGTTCTGCCATGGTAGCATCTCCCATTGCCACAGCCCACGTTGCGCAATCATGCTTGGCTCCCCAGTCAGTGGCGATGATGATGGGGGCCTGTGTTTCTCGAGCTTGCTTTACCCCTTCTTGAATCCATGTTAGGAGGGCAGCTGGGGGATGGGGTATGTTGTCCGTGGGATGGAGCGGTGTAATGTCGGGAAGGATTGTGGCTGCCAGCAATCGTTCTTCACACGTGTTGGTGGGTTGTCGCAAGGTTGGGGCCAGGCGGGTCTTTGCTTGTCTGGTATGTGGGCAGTTCCACAGCAGGTGTGGCATGCTGGGTCGGTTCCGGCCGCAGAAGCAGGCAAGTTCTGTAGTGTTGTGCCGTTTGGCGGAGTGCCACGCGTTGGTTCCGGCGGCCATGGTGACCTGGTATTGCGGTGTGCTGGTGCTACTCTGTGCTGGGGCCTGGATCTGTCTTTGTCTGTGCATGGCCGGCAGCTGAGTTGGTGGTGGTGTTGGTAGTCTCAGGCCGATGGCCATGGTGGGATCATGTCTGCGCCGGGGTTTCCATACCCTGTGCTCGGTGTGGTAGAGCTTGGTTCGCCAATGGTCGTGGATCCAGGACCGCATCGTGTTGTCGCCGTCCCATCCGAGGCGGATGGTGCGGATGCGGTTGTGGGCATCCTGTTTTGTGAGTGTCATGGTGGTCGGGTTCCACCTGATGTTCGTGTGTGCCAATGTTTGCTGAATGGCTGGGAGATGGTTGAGGTGTTGTGGTTGATGGAGCCATCGGAGCACGTGCTGGAGCCAGGGGTTGGTGGTGTTGGGCAGTATGGTGATTTTGCTTGTGAATCTGAGTGCTGTGAAGCGGAGCATGAACACAGGGTCATCCTCGGGTGCGAGGCGTGTCGTCCAGATGTTGTGGTTGGAGGCTGTCTTGGGGACCCAGCCCGTGATGGCTGCACGATCGAAAGTGCGGAGTATCGATCGTTGCGGTGGTGTGGTTGTCGCAAAGGCTCCCGCCCAGGTGATGCATGGGATTGCCAGGGAGCGTAAGTGCTGCTGGCGCAGATATACCTGGATTGGGTGACCCAGGAAATGCGTTTTGCTCTAGTTGTGTATTTGGTCATTGCCTCGTCCGACAAAGTGATGGAGAGTTCGTAGGTGAGGCCGAGGATTTTGATTGTTGTTGTTGCTGGGGGGTACTCCTCCGGCGCTGCCAGTGGACACGGTTGTCGTCGAAGAAGCTGCTGGTGTCCGGTGTTCTGGGCGGTGGTCGTGGCCGCTTCGGGCGTGCTGCTGCTGGCAGGTCACTGGCGATGTGGTCGAGGTCGTCGAGATCTGCTGCTGCTGTGGCTTGAGTGCGGTCGCCGGTAAAGACCGTGGCTGTGATGGCTGGTGCTGCCGCAGTGTGTGTGTGGCCTGGCTGGTCCACACGGTGCGTGTGGATGGTGCGCCGCCGCGAAGTCCTTGTTTGGGTTTGCCTCGCTGGGTGGTGATGGCTTCTGGGATGTTGTCGCTTGGTCGTAGGTAGTCGTAGTGTGTGCCCGTGTACCACAAAATGATGTTGCCCGTGGCTTTGCGGCTGTCGTGGAAGCACATGATTTCTTCGGATGCTTTCTCTGGGATGATGAAGATGCGTTGGTTGTAATGTCTGGCGGCTGCGGTGAGTTCCAAATATCCGCCCCATGCGGTGTGCTTCTGCATGTGGTCGATGTATGCGGCGAATGAAGGTGCTTTGCTGTCGTCGGGCATGAGCCCATCCCAGAGGTCGATGTATGTGTCTGTGCGCTTGTGGATGTGGGCCAATGTTTCTGCTCGAGTTTGTATGCCCAGAATTTCCTTGCCCGTGCTGTCGGTAAGGGCTTGGGCGATGCTGTGGAAGAGGCAGCTGCCGTCGGCCGGCATGGCGACCTTGGTGAGGCCGTCTGGGACGGGGCGGCTGGCAACGCACTGTTTCTTCTGGGGTTGCTCGCTGGGCTTGTTTGCGTCGTCTGGGTCGGGTGTCTCGACTGTGATGGTGCCTTTGCTTGTGCCTGCGTGTGTGCCCCGTGGTTGTGGGGGGGCATGCCATTGCATGGTGGATGTGTCATGGATGTGCCAGCTGCGGGCATGTTCGGCTTTGCGGGTTGGTGGTGCGAGCTTGGCCCAGAGCTCGTAGATCTCGTCGTCGATGGTGGCGAAGATGGGGTGGAGGTCGAGGTCAGCTGCCGATGTGGCGGTGAACCACCACGTGGTGACCTTGCCCCGGACCTGTTTCCTGGTGATGTGGGTGTCGGTGAATGCTGGCTAGCTGCTGATGAGTTGTTCGACTGTGTGTTGGTTCCAGGCGCGGGGTGCTTGGTCAAGTTGCCATGTCCGGGTTTTCTCGGTGCTGGCTTCAGTGGCGACCCGGGCTCCAAGTCCTCGGGCGCTTCGGGCCAGGCCCCATTTGTGGCCTTTGTCAAGGAGTCGTTGGATGTAGTCGTCTGCTGTGTCTGTTGGTTGCCATTTCTCCCACGCCGCCTTGATTGGGGGGAGGGGATGGTGCCAGTGGATGGGTTCAACGAAGATGCCTTGTTGGCCGGACCGGCCCAGGATGGTGCCTGGCGCGTCGGACTGGCCAAACGTGCCGACCCGGATGAGGCCGATGATGCTTTTGTGGGGGCCCTATACGTGTTGCTTCCAGCCCCACGTGTATGGCTGCTGCCGCGGTGGTGGGGAGCGTTTGGATCCAGTCTCCCAATGCTTTGCGGGGGCGTTCCAGTGCTGTGATCCGTGTTTTGTGGCTGATGTATTGCTCGTCGAAGATGACGCGGAGTGTTTCGGTGTGTTTCGTGGTGTGGTGATGGCCTGCTGTGTGCAGCGGAGCAGGGCGGGCTCACGTTGTCCCTGGTCGACCAGTTTGTGGCAGCGGACTCGTTGGAGGACTGGCTTGGTCCCACACTGGCCGGGGATGGTGGTTGTGCCCGTGGCGAGGCGCCAAATGAGCCAGACTGCTTTGGGTGTGGTGTTGTTAAGCATTGCTGCTGCTGCCTGTCCCTGGTCTTCTTCAGCGCACTGGATGACTGCTCGGAAGGGGTTGCCGTCGGTATGCTTGCTGAGTGCTGTGGCCAAGTCGTTGTATTGGATGATGGGGTCGGACCAGTCCTTGCTGCGTAGGGTCCATTGGTCCAGGTTGGGGCGGCGGCGGGTAACGGTGACCCAGTCCCGGCCGTGGACCTCATCTGCTGGTGTCGGGGTGCCTGCAGCTGCTGCTTGATGGCGGCTGCGGTGGTGTTCGGGCTGGCGCCCTTGCCTGTGCTATGCGCGGGCGGAGCCCCTATGCTGTGGGTGGGCGTGGCCCCTGTGCTGTGGGTGGGCGTATGCCCGTGGGTGTGTTGGGCACATGCGCCTGTGCGGTTGTGTTTGGGCGTAAGCCCTGCGTCACTGCGTATGGTGACCTTGCGATGTGTGTCCCTTGGGGATGTGTGCGGCGTGGAGTGCCAATTAGGGGGTGGTGCTGTGCTGTGCTGCAGGCTTTTGCCGTTGCCTTTGCGGTGTTTGGCCAGCTTGGCCTGGGCTGATGGCGTGGTGGTGCTGTTGACCAAGTTGCTCATCAGGTCGGTGATGTTGGTGAGGGGCGTTGCGTGTGGCGCCCCCCCCCTGTGTCAAAAGTTGCATTAATTGTAGCAGGCATTGCAGGATGGCGCCAAGTGGGTCGGCCTCTTGCTGCTGCTGTTGTGGTTGCAGTCGCTTCTGGATTCTGCGGCGGGCTGTAACCCGGCTGCCGTATGGTCCCGGGTGGGATGCTTCACAGGTCCCAGGGCTTGGCTCCTTCATCCAGCTGGATCTGAAGGCCCGCGACCACCGTGTCCTTAGACTGGAGGTGCCTGGTGATGGGCGCCCGGTCGTGGCCCCCTTAGCTCTGTTTGGAATGCCTGGACCTGAAAAAAAACATCGGGACCCAAAAAGATTGTTCTTCCCGCCTCCTTGGCAACCTAATACCACGCCAAAATGAATCGGCAAAACCCCATATGAACCCGTTAAGAACTAACCCATTAAGAACTTGAGGGTACCCTCATTCATAATTCCCATATTTTCATATATATATATATATATATTTATATATTCCACCGCTGTACCCAGATAGGGAAAGGCAGAAGGCGGTGAAATCACCAGTTTCTAGTCCATTGTCTCCGCAGGTCCAGGGGATATGGATCGTTTTGGGTTGAAACCTCCAAGTTGAAGAATTCAGAATGTTGTTTTTTTTGCTTTTTTAATATATACCCATCCTCATCTTGGGATGATATTGAAAGATGATTGGTGGGGAAAGGTAAGCAGCACGTGAAAGCATGACGTGTCGTGATTTTCCATTGGATGGTTGAAAGAACCGTAGATAGTAGACCATATAAAGCCACAAATTGCTTGGGAGGTCACTGCCCAGTTCACTGCTTGACATTTCAGGTAACCTCCCATTTTCTGGCTGATCTTCAACATCAATTCCTCATCCTGGTAGTACTTCATTGCTGCCTTAGCTCCGGATAAGCTCGGCGATGAGACATGACATCTGGGTGTTTGGAGAACTCTGGAGCCATTTTTTTCATCACAAAAGGATTATATAATGATATCAATAATGATATTAATGCCACCATTAAGTGCCACGAAGATCGTGCCATCATGTGCTGCCCCATAATCTGTACCTTGGACCTTGTTTCTTGATCCGATCCAACCCGAATCACCTCCATGTCATGTGTCATTCCCGGCAAAAGTTCACATCATCGCTTATCACCATCAACCATCTGCTCACCCCATCATCTTTAATGTTAACCCAGGATGAACATTAGCCCCCAGTTTCTCAATAGGGGTAGAGTACGGGGCACCAATTTTAGCTTTTAGCATTATTTTGGGGATGTATAACCCCCCAAGTCACAGTCAGGGTTTACTTTCATCCATGCTTGACTTTAGCCCCAATCCCCAAATCTCTAATTTTGCTCCCAACAAAAAGTTCTCAAAATCCCACTGAAAATCCTCTTCAAATCTCCCCATGCCATCCCACCATCCCTATTCTCCAGTCAACTTCTAGGCCATTCTTCTTGATATCCTCAAAGATGGGCCCCAGCTCCGCGTCAGACTCCAGGGACTTCACGCGGTCCTGCACTGGGGTGTCGCCGTTGGAGAGCTTGGTGTTGTAGTGTTCCGCAATGGCCTGGAATAGTCCGAAAAAAAAAAAAAACGGGGACCAGCCGGGGATATACCAATGGAGAAGGGTCAAGAAATGGAGCATTGGATATCAAATATCATGGGGAGTACAGTATTCTATCATATATATATATATATGTATATATATATATACATTATATATATGGGGATATCGACTGGCAATGATATAAATAGCCCAGAAGAAAACGCTGATTATGATTGGATCTCATCATTTTGGGGTTCCAAAACTGGCAAATGGAAATCATTGGCCCAGGGCCCAGGGATTGCCAAAAGTCTCCTTTTCGCCTGAAGTGGTCCTACCAAGCATGTGACCCGCCTGGGTTTGTAGCCAGCCACGCATGGCATCCGGATTCTTGGCGAAATTCTGCAGAGCCTTGGCGGTGTCTGGATTGCTCTCCACGTAGGTCTTCACCTGGTGATCCATTCAGTTCCAGTGTCAACCCCCTTTTGATGCCGTGGAATAATATGGAAAGTGATGACAGACCAAATACAATTCCCATGCTAGTCTCTGATAATTAAGTGTTCAACTTCACACGCAAAAAAAAAAACATTTAAAAAAAACACTTTAACTTCCAGTTCAAGGTGTTGAGATGTCTGGAAGGAATTGCTTGAGGCTTGTGGGTTTTCCACCATGGCCCCACGAAAAGCCTCAGCCCAGGTTTCGTCATCAATGTCCGGCAAGCGCGTGATCTGCATGGTGGTGCCATCGTTGATTTTCAGGGTCTCCATTGCCGTTGCCATGGCGAAAAAAGATTGGCCCAGTCACGGTCTGTTCCGATGACTTGCGCGAAGCGATTATGCGCTCCGTTGTCGGTCTGAGCCTGAAAAAGATGAAAATGGGATGTAGGTAAGGCACAAAACGAACAGAATCTTGATGATTGGCCACAATCGATAGCAGTACTATAGCCAAGTGCTGGACAGCCCTCGTTCCGTCATCCAGTTATATCAGTTATAACATGTTAGACCAGTTATATCCCCAACTGAAGGGACTAAGTTCTTGCTGTCTGTGGCAATCTTCGAATTCCAATATTGGAAGCTTTTGATGACGGATCACAGCAAGGGAGCTTCAAATTGGCTCCGCACACGGGCGTCACTTTTTCGGATCCGCACACGCCCCACGTGTAGCGAAAATACACACTGATCCTCAGAAGCACATCTCATTGGTCTCATGTAACCAAGATTACTTCAGTCCTCAGCATCAAAGACTAGAAAAGCTGCCAGTGTAAGGTGACTGAAAATCGGGCTATACCCAAGACATTCTTCAGCAATTGAATCAATTGAACAAATACATAGAGATACATAAAGTCTGAATCTGGGCAAATTAGTCGATGAATGGGATGATTCCATGTGAGACTTAATGATGAGTCAATGATGCGTTTTGGGATGATTCCCCTTCGCTACGCTACTCCTGATCATCGTGGTGAGGTTGGCTCCCGAAGTCTCCCCACGCACAGCAGATTTCAAGGATTTTGCCACCAAATCTGAGCCATCCATACGGAAACCATGTGGCTTCAAAAAAGAGCAACCAAATTGGGAATCAGAAGTGTTGATGCTCTTGGGAATTCCCCAATGGGAATGTATTGTAAGTTAATTGATGACTTATTGACCAGCATTCCCAATACTTCATAAGTCAGTATTAGAAGTGTTAACGAACAATGTCAATGTAACCATCCCCAATGATTTGTCAATGTAGCAAACTCAACAATAGGCCATGCCTAATGACTTAGAGACATAGCGGAGGTTCCAAAATTCCAACCATCCCGAATTTCAAGGACAATGATTGGCTTTACCACAGTCACATTATGGCCCACTGTAGGTTGCTTCTACCTTGTTGATATATACCTATATATACAGTATATATATATATATAATTGGTTGAAAACTTGAAAACGCAACAACTTTTGTCTACGACCTGAAACTTAGGGCCTTTCTCAGCCTGTCATCAACTGACATCTCACGTGACACTTTCGACACATGGCTCAGCTCGGAAACACTGCCAAGAATCCATGGATTGTTGTGCGCCCTAAAAAACAGGCGGCATCAGGTGACCATTCTGCAACCTGAGCCCCTTGGTTTGGCAAAGTTCTGCCCTCGGCAAATTGCGAAGCGCACCAGTTCATCACTTGGGCGCGATTCTGGGGGGCCATCAGTCTCATTGGCCCACCCCCCAGATCTTGTAGGTGGTTCCTCTGCTGCAAGTGATGCCACTGCATTCACAAAGATGTCCCCAATCCTGCACCGATTCCAACGAGCCAAGAGCGACATCCCCAACTGTTCAGCAGAAATGGGTTGCAAAATGGGATGCCAACGCATGAGGAGGACACCATGCCCAATCTGAGATCCCCTGCCAAACAAAACATTCAGCTGGTTTGAGTTAGTAGACATCCCAGATGTGAAAAAAAACAAACAAACAACTACTGAACCAGGACCAGGGCTGACCCAAATATATGGGCCAGGACAAACCTCTGTGAGCCTCTGTGCCCTCATTCTAAGTGGCCATCCAAAACCAAAACGAAAAGCTTTAAGGTTCATCCAGCGGCAGCTAGGGTTGGCAAAATCATCAAGAAACATGTTCTTCCCACTGAAAAGGGACCTTTTTTGTAGATTGTCAGATTCCATTGGGGTCCATTGGGGTCCATTGGGCTCCATTGGGCTCCATTGGGCTCCATTGGGTTCCTGGATCTTCAGCAACAGCTACTGGACTGGTTCCCCAGGAACGTCCTGCAGTTTGCATGAGCACAGCTTCGGAGGCGGCCGATTCTTCTGGATGAACGCGGGCGGCACCTGCAAATTCTGCAAGGCAAAACCATCCAGAAACAAGGTACTGATAGGTACTGTATCTATCTGATTCTATCTGTATCTCCTGCAACTTTGATCCAAATGCTTTGGGATTCACTTCCAAAGTGTTTGGAGGGTCTGGAAGGTGCAGTTTGGTTCAAGCTGTGGGACCCAAGCCGATGGCGAAGGATCTTGAGGCTGTTCGGCCAGCTGTCGTTGCGCTTGGGTTTGGGATTTCCGCATCGGCCAAGTACACTTGAAAGATCACAAAAGTAGTGGGAACATGTGGGAACTACTAACTACTCTTCTTTGATAAGGCCTGCAGAATTGTTGATCTTGTGACATTTGGGTCTCAAATCGAAAGCCCTGAACAATGCAGAGCTTGGCCATGTTTCCGAGTACTTGAGGCCATTTCTTGGGGCCCCCGGTAGCGCCCCTTGCCGCCTTCTGAATGTGTCCCTCGAAGACCCGCGGGTATCTGCAGGGATTTTGAACTGCACAATGACTGGTCAACTTTGATGACAGGGTTGACATTTCAGTTTTAATGGCGGCATATGGCGCCCACACTTCGGTGTTCAAGCTCGGCAAAGCTCTGTGAAGAGTTTTGCATAGCTGCACGGACCCAATGTGAAGCAGAACTTCTGAAGAATTCCCAATGGATTTGGGACCCTGTCCTGAATCTTTGGGGCACTTGACCTTGAGACCTATCAACTCTGGCTAAGAAAATAAGTGAACCAACGAGAATGGGAATGGAAATACCCAAAAAAAGGATATATATATATATCGGATAGCATGCTCACTGGTTGTGATTCTTAACCAGTGAGCCAGCAATATCCAGCGATCGTAAAACTTCCCCCGACGAACCTCAGCCATCCGCTGATCTTTCGATACCTGAGCATGGCTGGCTGTCCATAAGAGGGCTGGCTCAATCCATGGTTTCTGCAATATGTCTATCACAGTCACAGTCTATCCGACTATCCATCCTTTATGGATCCCATATCCATCGGATCCATCGTCCAACAGCTGGTCAAATCGGAAATCTGTATCCAGCTGGTTGAAACAACGGGCGACTGTGTCAAACCTATGACACCACCTATGACGTGAAGGAGAGCTGACAGGGTGGCATCTGACAGCACGGCACAAACAACTCAATCACCCAAAATCGAAGTCAAACTGCCCTGGCCAGCTATTCTTCATATTAACATTCTTCGACGAAGGTCAGATGTTTGGGGTTTGGGTCTGTTTTGGTGGTTTAAGGTAATACGGTAACCCCGAAAAGATAGAAAAGTATTTCCCAAATGGTTTCTGAACCTTTTTGTCAGTTGTTGGAATAAATCAATTACCCTCTGGTGAACTAACATAGCAATGGAAAATGGCCATTTATAGTGGATTTTCCCATTAAAAATGGTGATTTTCCATTGCTATGTTAGTTCACCAGAGGGTAAATGAAGCATTGGTGACCAGCTTTTGGCGCCTCTTCTTGTTTTGCATCTCCAAGCGTTCCGTCTCGTGCTGGCCGGATGGCTGTCACCAGCTTCCATCCCAAGAAATCCAGAAATCCGATGGGGAGATCTATCTCTAATTCTCCAAAAATGCCCATGTTGGTGCTGTTAAAACCATGATAAATACTATAAAGGCTAAAATTGCCAAGTCTTTGGAGGTCTCCAACTTGGAGGTTTACCTTGTCAAACTGAAGCCCACTTGATGCTAAACACCAAGGGGTCGACATAAATTTCCTCGGGATATGGCTCAAAAGGTTAGGTGGTAAAGAAACAGCGCAATCAGATGAAATCAATCATCTTTTCTATTTAACATGATTACTCATGATTTAACAATGGCCCTTTTGAAGCCCAAAAGCTTGGGCACCTCCTTGCTCTCAAACTGAATCTTGAAGGAGCCATCCTCTTCCTGCCGGAACCCGGTAACCCCACGTTCCGTCGGTACCGACCCTGGACCAATCTGGCTGCGCCTCAGCGACGATCAGGCCCAGCTCCGGCTTGGGGCTTTTCTCCTTCTTCAGCTCTCCGTCCCTGCGCCAAGAGCTTGGTGACTCGGGATGCCACAGACAGTTCTTATGGTCAAAGGTGCAAAGTCTGAGTCCCGTTCCTGCCCACTCCTCTCACGTGGAGGAAAGTCCAACATCGGTTACCCTGGCCGGAGGGCCATGACAAGCGCAGGGATATATCGACTTTATCTGCAATTGCATTTTCTGTCGTCATCCTTCAGGGTCGACTGCAAGGTGGCCCCCAGTTACAAACTGGTTTCTGAACCCATCCACATCCAATCAGATATATCTTGGGATATCCCTTTTTGCACTAACAGTGAGCACCAGCGGAGGGCATCAAAATAGCACCAAAAAAAGCTCAAAAAAACATATGTTTTCTGGTGCAAAATGTGTTCCTACCTGGTGGTTCTTAAAGCTAAAAATGGTGCTAACCTCTGGTGGTTTTTTCGTCAAATTGGTGCTCGTGGCTGGTGCAAAATTTGGTGGCACGAAACGATATGCAGATAATGTGCTGCATTGGTTTCTGGTGCTCACCATGAAAATGAAGAAATTTGCTGGGCTGTGTGCTAATCCTAGTGATATATCATGATATATCTACCATAACCTTACTTAACCTACGTATAAACCAACTGAGCCAACCATGGGGCAGCCTCTTGTCATCAGTTCACCAGGGGGGTTCAAAATGTGACGAAGCACAGGGAGTAGCTGAGTCGCGTGACACATGACCGGATTATCGACCTGTGTCCCATCAAAACAACCCGGGCTGTTTGGGGAGGTTCCACTCTAATGATCTCAGAGGGAAAAATCCTCCAGTGATAAGCTCCTGAGTTTGCCAATCCCCTGCCGGGTTGGAGAACTTGGACCAAAGTATGTGGCGCCACCCACCATGAACCCCGAAATGATCAAATGAGACATGGCGTGACAACTGATATTTCCAAGTCTGATAAACTATTTTTTGCAAACCCCCATGGGTTTAGTGGTAAAATTAATGTAGAAATGTTTGACGATCAAAAGGCTGGTTTGATGATCAAGAGGCTGCGAGAAACTCCGCCTTTTTGAGTTCGATCTGATTCTTTTTCTTCTCTTCTTCCCGGCGCCTGAGGGATGTTCAAGCAACTAAACATACTAAACCATTCTATGAAATACATCACCTACTCGGATATGGGTGTGTCTGGAAACGGAAGATATGCCCCCTATTGCCACATGGCAAATTCAGAAACTCATAGATTTCATCCAAGAATCGTGGAGATTTTATCACCTTGAAAAAGTGGAGATTGATATATTATATATGTGCCAAACATAGCCATCAAAAGTGGTGAATTCACCATCAAGACCACTGTGTCTTGCGGATTCGTGATTATATGACTTATACTTATATTATATATCTTAAAAAAAAAAAAACTTCATTTGAAAATATTTGAAACATGAAAGTCCAAAGCTGAAACATGTCTGTGAAACATGTCTGAAGCGCACCAGTCACCCCTGTGAGGACGATTGTGGCACCTCTTGGCCGCCACAAATGCTGGATCCTCCGCACCTGAACGTTGACCCATAGCATCCCGCAGATTCTAAGCTGGCTCACAGTTTTTCATTGAGCTCTGTTTCAATGTGTTTCACCTATACCAAAATGGATCAAGATTTTCATGCTACCATATTTTGGGGGGTTGTTCGCATCAATCCCAGCTTTTTTTGCTGTGAAAACTGAGGGGAACATCCAGCCTCGCTTGTTCCGTGGCTCGCTGACACCGGTACCGAACTGCGCGCTGCGAAGGTCCTGAAAATGCTGGGACAGTCCAGTCATGCCTGGGGGATCATCTCACGAATCGTATGTAGTTTTTGAATGTGTTTAAGCTTAGTTTGTAGATGGATTGTATCATGTTCTATCTGTGGTTACCAGTTACTAAGTGGAATGAATTTCCAAGTGGTTACCAGCGCCATGAATCAGCCATTTTGGAGGGTGTATACCTCTGGTGAAACTGGGATGACACTGGCATTGGGTTTATCACAGTATGGTTATTGTTATGGTTGATTTACTTTCAATGATCATGTTTTAACCAACCATCTTTTTTCAGCTGCATGATCCCCAATTATTGCGGTAAATTTCACAAATGCTCGGAGGGTTGATATGGCTTTCAAGTACTAACTAACATCAAGCGTCAAACGGGTTCAAAGATTTGAAACCAGATCATTTTGCGGTGTAAGCATAGGATTTGCTCCATTGCAGACTGAGCACAGGCACCAGGCACTAAATTATCAAAGTTGTGTCTGGCCATCAAAAGTGGCATAGGAACATCTCCGTAGTCTTCCAATTATTTCAGGACAAGCATGGCAAGGGTCGAATTCAAGTCTAAGCACATCCTTGGCTGTCAAAATACGTGCGCGACATCCCGCAACCATTTCAAAAATTACCATCTGGTTATTTAACAGTTTGCCATGGAAAATCACCATGTTTAATAGGTAAACCGGTAAACCATCTATTTCTATGGGCCATCAACAAACCATGGCGAACTGTTCGTCATAACCAGAGGCTAATCCCTATGAATGATTCATGAGGGGATGACCATCACAACACAAGCGGCACAAGTCAAGCACAACTCGCTCCTCGCTGCCGGCGATGATGCGCCGCAGCAAATCCTTGTCCTGGACATGGCGACATGGCAGTTCTGGCAATCAAAATCAATAGACTGGGGAAGATCAACAGGAAATGGTTAACGGTTTGGATGGTTAACCAATCTGGACATGGGAAGATCTGGCAACAAATTGGATGGTTAACCATGTTATTTTAATTTTGTTACCATCCAATTTGTTGGTTCCAGATCTTCAAAAATGATCCAATTCCGGGACGGTCTCGATCACATCTCACGGCAAAAGTATGCCTTCAATGGAAATATGGCCACCAGTTAGGGGAAGGGATTGTTTAATGATTACAGGCACCACATCACACCACCCTGTTTTCAAAGATGACAGAGGAGCACAAGTCAAGCACTTCATGCAGAGACCCAGACACAATATGACCCAAAACAAAGGACAGCCACTGAAAAATTATGGTGCCGGCCCATCAGCGCCTCAGGGCGAATTTCATCAAAGCCCTCCAAGTCATCAGTGGACTGGATGATGCGTGTCGTCTGGCACGCTGGGAGAGATCCAATGCATTTGAAAGCAGCAGGATGATGATGATGATGATGATGATGATGATGATGTATCTTTAATCGATAAACGATGCCACGACAGGACTCATGTTGCAAGGCATCTGTCCTGTATGTCCGTCCGACTGGTGCAGAATTCTTCAAAAGTCTCCCGAATCCGGAACTATATTATGCAGGTTTGCTAAAATAGGGATACCCCAAATCATCCAAGTCATGAATGACCATTCAAGTATTGAAACCCATGGTTTTGGGCTACCCATTTGAGGAAACCTCCTGACCTTGCGGGCACGAGTAAAGGTGTTGAAGATGCACCGAGCATGGTACCTCAGAGGATCGAGGTCAACCAGGACCTCTTTGGCCTGGAATTTCTACAATTTTAGCCTCTGGTAATAGCTGACATAGCTATTGAAAATGGCCACTTATTTAAAAAATATATAAAGTGAATTCACCCACTAAAATTAGGATTTTCCACAGCTATGTTGGTTTACCAGAGGGTAGGGGACTCAATTTTCAGGCAATACTGGTGAAGGATCATCTGAGAGATCAAATGCATGTGATCCTATACCTTGGCTTTGCGAACAAATGAGCCGGACCAGAGAATCAAGTTGACTGAAAATACAAACATGGAAGCGCGGCTGCCCCGGCACAAAGGTTGGAAGTGTCAGGGGAGCAGTTCCATCCACTCTTCGCATGACACTTCAGGCCAACCAACTCTCAAATCTTTTTCCCGGGACATGCTGTTTGCTCCCAGAGTCCTACGACTTCTTTCGCAGAGAGGAAAGAAAATCTTCCTCTCGAGCACCAAAGGCCAACTCGATTTCTCTGGAGGTTCTATTCGAGACCCATGACTGTTGCACACGGAAGTCAAACTCCATTTTGATTCAAGACTACCCTCCCACGAAAACAGCTGGTAGTCATACAGTCAGTCATACAGAGTCATACATGTTCATTTCCCATCACCCATCAACTGATGTTCCCATAAATCGCAAAAATCTCGAGCCCCAAATCCGCATGAATGAAATCATGATAATCAATGATAATCTGATAATTCCTACGTATATTTGCTGGTCAAATCCCCTTTGGATGAATGTTGGATGAATCCCCTTTGGATGAATCCATTTTGGGCAAACTTTGGCCCCTGCCCGGCCCAAGTACTGGCAAGGACACCGCCGAACATTGCAGCTGCGTCGGCCAAGTACAGGAGACATGGGGTTGTCTCCAAAATGTTAACCAAACAAAAAAAAACAGGGTTGCTCTTGGTTGATCATCGGTTTTTTTTCCAATGGCCCAATGGCCATATTTGATGGTGCGTCAAATGGGGAACGACATCAATGGCCATATTATGCCATATTTGATGGTCAAATGGGGTATGAAACGACCCCGTTCTGAGACAAACCCGCGTGAGGGTCGGCAAAGACTTTGTACATGGCTGGGTGTTTCTGCTTTGTGATGCAGTGGAGCCAACAAAACATCGCCTCAAAATCAGCAGTGGAGTCCAGTGTGGAAGATCAAAGATTCAGAAACTCCCAAAAAGTGACACATCAGATCATCAGATTTGAGCATTTCTCACCATTTCTACCATGGCCTCAACCTCTCAATCTGCTGGTGGCACTTCTTTCAGCACTTTGGAAAGTTCAAGGCTGCGCCACTTCATGATCACCGGCCCTGGCACTGAGAAATTCTCCAAGCAGTTGTGCTGTTTTTGCTATTTGTCAGTTGATTTCAAGTATCCAAAACTGACCTGGCAGACCTGGCACATCACTTTGCTGTTTCCAAAACTGAGATCCTTGGAACCGGAGTACTCGCAATGGGAGAACTTCAGCCAAGGATCTTGGCAGAATTAACAACTCACAGCTGGACAAATTCCCATTTATAAATGATTTACCAACGAAACATGCGGATTTGTTCAAACAAAAATATGAATCATGAATAGATGCTCATAGATTGTCCTATCAAAAGAATGGAGATTTACCCAAACTGTGGATTTTCGAATGCCAGGCTGAATTACCTGTGGTTCCCGTCCCCTTTTCACCTTCCAAGGGGAGTCCCGTGGTGTCTTCTCGGTCTGCAAACGGAAGCTGCCTTGATGTCATGCAAAAGGATTTGCGAGCCCCAGCTAATCCCTGTATTCATGTTTCGGTTAAGAGCCGCAGGTAAACGAGCCACAGGTAAAGTAAAGGTCAAATGGGGGCATATCATGGCAGATAAGGATCTGGGCAAACCAAAGTAAATCAAAAAAAATCAAGGTCAATTGATGGCAAATCTAGGCAAATAAGAGACAAATAATGGCAAATGTTGGCAAATGGTCTTTAGTGTATTGTAGATGATGCTTACAGGGACTATTGTCATAGATATGTTCATTTAGTGGTGTTTTATGGCATCTACTGGGATGATAGCTCGCTCACACATCTCAGATCAATCAATTAATTGGGGTAGAAAGGGGTCAACGATGAAATAACTCAACTTATTGCAGGGAAAAAACCATTTACGATTCGTGGGATGCACCCCCAAGTGAGGATATGAGCCAGCCATCAGCTGCACATACATGGCTTTTGCAAATGCTCAGCTGTTCATTGGTGGTTTTGGAAAGTGAATGTGAAACAAATGTACAAAACTTGCGTGAGAAAAGCAAACGGAAAGTGCCCATCAAATGTTTGATTCGCATTCGTACCAATGCTTTGGCGAGCCCATCAATCCGGTTTTGGCCTGAGTAGTGCCCAATACCCTCTATCGTCCCTATTGTTTGGTTGAGGACATGGTTCAGGTACCACTAATTCCCATGTTTCATGCAATAGTGTCTATACAGTAATGTCTATCTTATACCATCATGTTTCGCCATCATTTCTGGTTTTTCAATCCCTATCGGCCCTATCAGATCATCGTTTCGGACGGGCCGGGGCGCTTGACCACGTCGCCGGGGATGCGGAACTGCTTCACAAATTCCAGCATCGCATCTCCTTCCTCCAAAAGGCCCACCTCTCTTCATGTCTTGTCATGAAGCCACAGATCCACAGTGTGTGAGAATGACTGTGGAGCTATTGGATGTAGTGAGAAATCCGGGTGCCAATGGTTCCAATTACTTTGCAACTGTGAATTGTCCTCCAAGCAACAGATTTCCTCTGGTTGCGGCCAGGTGGCGTGAACGATGATGTCTGCATCGATGGACCACATCGTCAAGTAGACTTTGCCTCTCCATGCGCGGGAAGGTCTGCAAATGCTGGCGAACCAGAAATTGTCTTTCATCAAAACCAAGAAAAACTATATAGTCCAAATATGTCTAAATCTAAATAGTCTGTCTAAGGCAGTGTAGATGTGCTTGATGTGTTTCCTTCTTTGGTATGTGTTTCTCTCTCTTTAGGACTTGAGCATGGCCATGCCTTGCACGGTGTCCAGTTCACTGTAGCACTCCAGCACCTCTAATGCCGTCCCGGCTGTCGATTCTCATGGGGCCGAACCAAATTGAAGAGATGGAGAAAATATGTGGTAGAATTGGAAAATATTACAAAACATGGACAAAATGATACTAAATGGTGTAAAGCTTCAAGTGAAGTTTCTCTGAAAACAAGCATTCGGGGCATCCTTTCAGCTTTCGAGAAACAGAATATTGATTCACAGCTGCATATTCGGTGGATCAGCAACAATACCGCAAGGGGAATTCTCAAAACTAGTTCAAAAAATCCACTCGAATACCAAACCGGTGAATTTGGGCCTTCAGTTGGTAGACAGCACGGGTTTGCATCATAGGAGTTTATATACCCATTACAGGAAACTTCACAGGCGGCAAGTTTTGCAGCGTGGCTGGCTGTATTTGACTCTCTAAATGTGGTATGATACCATAAAATCTGCCTACTTTGATCGGGATATTTTAGAAAATCCCATAAACACCAATAAAATAGGGTATGATACCATAAATATCCATAAATGATGGTTTAATTGGGGTAGCCATGATGATCGATCTGCTGAAACCTCTGGGGATTTGAAGGCTCCCCCCGCGCGCAACGACACCTTGCCATCTGACAATAGGTCTGACAAGTTGTGTCTGGTCACCTCGTCGGACCCAAGTTGGATTATCCATTGGTCAGTTTCAGGAAGCCTATGATGATAAGGGGTCACCATGGGTCACCATCGGTCACCTTCAGAAAGCCCACAAAATGGAGAATCATGAGATAGTAGATAGCGACTATAGCCTTCACTGGCTTTTTGGCAAATTGTCCTTTCCTCATTTGGGGATGACTATAGCCAGGCATTACTGGATGTGGCGCTGCTACTCGGATGTCTTACATTGAAAGTAGGCTGATTCTTGTGCAGTACGGCAGATCTGTATTTGTGAGGCTTTGGGAATTTGGCCTACCGAGAAAGTATTGGAACAAACTTGTCTAAGATACCACACTAATGAAGTAATATGATCTAATATGTGTATCTATGCAAACATCAGTTTTCAATAGTTTTCATATCCAGTTGCAGGATCTTTCTCGACTTGGCAGAGGTTGGACAATCAGTCGTTCATCCCAGCCTTCTTGGTGGCCTTGGTCTTCACCCTCGCTGCTTGCTTCTTGATGAGGAAGTTCAAGTCACTTCCTTCCCCGAACGAGGAACGAAGTGAATATCCAGGGTCACCCAGCGATGCTCCCAACTTTTGGACCATCATCTTCCCACCATTTGTCCGACAGTGTGGCATTTTTCTCCCCCACAGCATCTGAGACCATCCCCAAAAAAAAAACAGCTAGTCTCTAACTGTTGGAATGTTGGAATGAAATATTCTGTTATAAAGCCGAGAATAAACCCACAGGAGGAAGGGGGGTCAACACGTGGGACTTACATCGGGCGCCATTGGGATGTCCTTTGAGAATCGCAGCTTCCAACTTCGCGACCTCCGTGATCCTCTCGGGCCTTGCCACGGCTGCAGCTGCAGCTGAGAGATTCCCAGTCGGTACATCATCCACAAGGGATTGTTGCCAAAGGCTGTTTACTGGAAAGTATCCACCCCAAATGCTGCTTCAGCAGTGCCAGTGCGGCAAAGACACAGGAGCATCTGCTTTGAATGCTCAATGACCGCTTTTAGCTCTTGCTCAGCACTGCAGGCAAGGATCAGAGTTTGGGAACACTGCACAAGATTTTCTGTGAAAGTGGCAAGTGGTGCTTCCGTGAGTTCATGGAAACGCGTGTGAGTCAATCATCTGTCAAGTAAAGCGCAAACAAAAAACTCAAGGTACGAATGGTGATGCATCATGCGCCTGCGTACTTCTTTTGCGTGGCGACTCTCTTCCATTGGAAGTCGAGACAAGCCCACTGACATGGAATGAAGGTAACGACCTGAGGCATTTTGCAAGTTTTCCTCCCAGCAGAACACCTTCCTATCAGAACTGGTCCACAGGTGGCATAATCCACAATGAGGCATAGTTCATCCCCAAGATCCCAACAGGTCAAAATTGAAGACACCAGAAAATCATAGAGAATCAAGATCCTCTTCATCTTCAGTCCAACTTTGGGAGATCCCAGCATCAACATCATCATCATTATCATCATCATCATCATCAAGAACAGCAATGATCAAAAATGACTTTATAGCAATGTTTTTTTTAACCAATATGTAATAATAATTATTAATGATAACAATCATCAATAATGACAAGCATCGACAATGACAATGGCATAACTCGGCATGACCCATCCCCAAGATACAAAATTCCTTCTTCAAAGTCCAGTTACTATGTCGATTCCGCGACAAAATCACCGACGCCATGGCGTCCAGAACTTCTTCGGGGCTTAGCTCCGTCTCAATGTAATCAGCCACAGCTTGAACGCCCTCAACGCCATGGACGGCTGGGACAGCTGGATTGGGTTTCTTGATGCACACACCCGGTGTATCAGTGTGTCCAATTTCTCTGAAAATGCGGGGGTCAGGAAATTGACATGTATTAACCCACAAACGGACATGATCATGGGCTTGATAAGATAAAGGAAGAATTGAGGTCAGGTGAACATCCCAACAGAATGATCTGTCCGCACCTCGGCCAGCTTCTCGGTCAGGGCTTCGTTCTGCCCGGCAGCGCATTGAGTCCATAGGGCCTCGAAACCAGAATAGCCATGCACAGCCTATAGCCCACTTGGGGTGCCGTTGGGGTCATTAATTAATGGTGATATATATATATATATGTATGTGTATATATATATTGTATAATATATAATCATAAGTTACAGGGGTTATCTCCCAACTTATGGGTCTTGTTACAATTATTAGTAGGATTTCTGGTGGCTATGACCATCTGTTGGATTGCCTATGATGGATGAAATAAACATGAATAGACCAACTGAAGAATTGGGGACATGGCATGATGCCATGGATGGAGCAGGCGGATTCCATACCCCCCATGGCTGACCCACACTGAGTGCCTCCAGTTCCTCTTTCAGATCCACGAAATTCGATGACTTCAAGGGTGGTAGCATTCGAAACAAGTCTTCCAACACCTGACCAGGTCCGGGTTGAAGGAAGTCAAACTTCTGTGGCTCGTTTACCAGCAATAGTCCATCTAATCTTAGGACCAAAAGAATTCCGGTCCTGCCAGTGTCAAAGGCCACGGCTGGTAGATTTTGGATACAGAAACAACGAGCACTTTCGTATCTTCCGCCGACTAAGATCGGAATATTTTTGTTTCACATGAATGAATGTCCACTCCAGCTGATCAAGGTAGCCTCCGCACCCTGTCACATCTCCCCTTCGAGCCTTGTTTGGATTGTCTTCCTTCAAGGTCCGAACGACCTCACGGCTCAAGGACACTGGCACTGGTTTTGGCACGCACAGATCACAAGAACTAGGGGAAGCCATCCCAAAGCGGTCGAGCAACATCCACGTTCTGCACCAGATTGACCTGCAGCTACCCTCTGGTTCACACAGGAAGATCCCCACGTGTATGAAAAATATCCTATTATAAATCCATAGAGATTTGGGTCTACTCATCACCAGCTTCGATTGTCAGAGGGTGTATCTACTGCACTATGAACATAACATGGATTGAAGGGACTGTACATGGATTAAAGGGACTGTAGGGTTTTCAACATAGTTCCCAACAGAGTCTTTTCTAGCTTCGATTGGTCGCGAACAGTAAGGAAAAAGGCCAAAATCAAATCATTAAGGTTTGCAATGTGCAAAATTGGCAGCGGCCACTTACCCAAATATTTGCATACCCCTAGACCAAAGAAGGACTGGGAAAAGCAGCAAGAAAACCCGGAACTAACCATGAGTCTCGGGGTCCCATTTTCCAATTTTCTTTATTATGCTTCAGTATGTCCTGGTAGAATTTCTCATTTTTTCAACATGTCGTTTTTAGAATGGGATTACAGCGGCATAACTGCATAACCCTTCATTGTTTTTCCCCATTTCAATGGGGATGGTGAACCATGGGATTTTTGGCCGCCCTGGCCAGCCTGGCCTCATCCCCATGGCGTCGTAGGGCATCGGAGCCAGCCGCAGCGCTGAGGCAAAGGGGCACCTAAGAAACTCTCCAAGTTGTGGCAGCGGCTATGACATGAACCTTCATTTTTATCATTTTTCATGGGATTTCTTAGGAAATTCATGGGATTTCATGGTGGCACCCTGTTACTATTTGAGTGTGTTTTCAGGTGTCCTTTTCAGGTGTCCACCTGTTTCAACCCATCCTATCATCCCATGATCCAAGGCGAGGCGCAGTGCATTTCGAGGCTGGACAAATCGCCAGGGAACCCTCCTGGCGACGACACATCTCGAGCGAATGGGGGCCTTAAAAAAAACACGAACTCGGCCCACGTTTTGGCATTCAACCACTCAATAATTGAGGAATCGGAGAAGTTGAACCATTGGCAAATGGCCGCAGTGTCTAGATCCTGGTCAATCCGTGAATTCTACCCTGTTTTCAACTGCAGAACGTTGTTTCCACACACAAATGTGGCAACTGTTTGTATTAATGTGTCTCCTGTGTCTCCAAATATCTTCAAACTGCAAACATGTTTGAATATTCAGGTTGTTTCCTATCCACAAACACGGAAAAACCTTTCTGAATATCAGCGAAGCAAACCATCCCAACATAGCTCCGTGAAGAGAAAACGATGCTGCAAGGTGAAGCGATACAAGACCTTCAAGGCAGATGTGACCCACGGGGTTGTGTGGACGACAACTATTGTTCAAAAGGACATTTATAAGTGTATTATGATATTGAATATGTATACATATATGTGTATATATATATTATGTATGAATGTATGAATATATAATCTGATTCAGGGTGACTAGAAGAAACATACGAAATATGCGTACAACATATCCGCCTGCAACCATGGCTGACCAAGGAGGCGCTGATCAAGAAACACGCAACAACCAGAAAAACCAAAAAGAATGAGGTGACGACCAACAGCAACAATAATAGCAACAACAACAACAACAACAACCACAACCACAACCACAACCACAACAACCACAACCACAACCACAACAACCACAACCACAACCACAACCACAACCACAACCACAACCACAACCACAACCACAACCACAACCACAACCACAACCTCCACCACCACCCCCACCACCACCACAACCACAACCACAACACCACAACCACAACCCGCAGCCCCACAAATGTATAACGATCTTGTTGGTTGTATTCTTCATCCTACGTTGGATACATCCCACAGTTAATGTCGTCGGTGGTTCTGGAGCAATATCCTCATGTCCCATGAGTTTTCAGTCAAGCTCCCATTTATTGCCAGTTAGTGACCCATTCTATTATTCTATTGGTGGTCGAAATCCCCACTCATTGCTGGTCAAAATCCAAATCGTTGCTGCTTACCAAACCATTTTTTGTTGAATGCAAGGTTGCAATTTAGATGAATTCTCGATGTGTTCATTGCTGACTTGTCCCCATCTGGTCGTGGGTCAATCCACCCCGTATGTCTGTGGTCCACATCCATACCTAAATGTTTGTTTGAAAATAGGGCACTGCGTTTCTGTCTTATTGGGGGCAACCCCGATGTTTGACCAGTTCTTGGTACAAATTCTGAAACAACCAATTTTCAGAGGAATCCCGCACTGCGGCTCAAAGCCACCTCCGCGTTCTTCTCAGCCTTCTCGGTCGCTTCCTAGAGCGATGGATAGAAGTTTGGTTGGGTCCATACTGGTGCATGGTGGTACCTCCATCCACAGGTCATCCATTTGAAATTGTCCATCTAGGGGTGTATCGCCCATTTTACACATGTTTACTGATGTGAAAAGGTGAGACTCGAAATCCACTGAAAGTCTGATTCGAAAAAATGACCATTGAGGGGGCCGGCTGCCCCTTTGAACTGGGCACCACCCGGTCCTTAACAAGTTGCTCTGGCCATCGCCCTATCTTCCGGCATGCCTTGGAAGAAACTGTGAACTTCAGGTGATCCAACAGGTGATTGAACAATATTGAACACTTATCCTGCCTATCATTATTTCTTTGCATGTCATGATCATGTCATGATCTTGCCTCTTCCAAGCGATCGCCCGATTGTAACCTCCGCAGGGAGGCTGAACATCCAAGTCTGGTGCAAGCTCCATGAGTGCAAATCGCGTAGTAAGGGCTTCCTTGTTGGCCTTTTTAGCCCAAAATTGGGTCTTAAGCTGATTTTGCACGTCTTGATCTAATTTAGATCTGAGTCCACTACAGCAGATCCAACTTTGCGTAAAAGTTTGTGCAGTCTTTGTTTCAATGCATTGCATCTGTACCTTCAAATCCAGATAAGGTGTTTCCAGCACAAGTATCGCCCAGCCTGATCTTGTTCACATTGAAAAGGACCAAGTTTTGGAAGAGCAACAGCTGCGACGGTGGCACATAGATGCCTCAGCAAACATCGATGTGGGGTCGCCCCAGCTCAAGAAGACACCACCTTGGGCTTAGCAGTCTAAACTTCAGTGTGCAATCCAAACTAGGCTCGAAGAAGGCACAAGCCAGCGCAGATTCTAGTGCCATTCCGTATCAAACCAAGCTAAAATTGCCATAGCTTGGGATTATCTTCCCTTAAAAATTAAGATGAACAGTCTCAGACACGAATGTGCAGTATCAAAGACCTATCGGAAAACCCCCTCAGATAAAGCTGGTTTCTAACGGGATTCCCAGTTTATGGATTACAATCATTCCAAATATACAAAGGACAATATGACCCCTAAAAAAAGGATCAGCAAACCATAGTTCTTCAATTCTACCCCATGTGTTTAATGATCAAAAAGCAATATCCAATATTATCTACTGCTTTGAAATCACCCTGAAATCATCATCAATCATGTTTTTTTCAACTAGATGAAACGCTAGATGCTTAAATCCCTTTTTCCCAAGCCTCATCCATCAGCCATTTCGGTTTTTTATGGCTACCAAGCAGCTCCTGGAGCTCCGATCAAAGTGACATAGGAAGGACTGGACCGTCACCGTGGTGTCGGGATCATCGCCAACGACATCCGCCGTGATGGTCCGATCCAACAAGTAGCGCAGGAGCTCGGGACGCAGCCGCAGGGCGATCTTGCTCAGGCGCGCGGCGTGACTCTCCTGGAGAGGTGGGCGAAATGGACAAGGTGGAAAAAAACGGGATGGCACATTGGGAACATTGGGATATATGATATATATGATATACATGATATACATTTTACATAATAGTTAGTTGTATACATATAGGTATACATTGTGCGACATGTGTAAAAGATGGTTCATTGTACTACTGTACTGTTTGTTGTGTTGTATAATATAATTCATACGTGCCGTATATGTACTGAAGCTGCTGGGAATCACCAAAAAGATGGAAAGGCCAATGACACCCAAGCCTTGACCGAAAAAATGACCAAACCCAAATGGATCTCTTGGTTGTCACATCAAAATAGCTGGTTAGGGATGTTCAGCACCTATAAATATATATATATATTATTATTATTATTAAATATATATTATAATATATATAATATATTATTGTTATTATTATTATTATCATTATTATTATTATTATCATTATTATTATTATTGTTATTATTATTATTATTATATAATATATATATATACATATATATATATTATTATATATATAAATACATGTTATAAGATAGGTTTTGACCCATCCCCTATTGTTTCTGTCATCCAAAACAAATCTCTTGAGCCACAGGGATCTACCTTGTTGCCAGCCGTCTCTGTCATCGATTGAAAGGCATCCAAGACGGTGCCTTGGTGCCGACATGACTCAGTGGACCAAAGGACAGCCACTGACCTCTGATTTCAGCTGAGAACCTGGAGCCAAGGAACAAGTGTTGAAGAGCACATCGCCATCGAAGTTGTTCTTTTCACAGTAGGGCAAACCAACTTCCCTTCCACCAAATTTCTTGGGAGCTCGTAGAAGTGGCAGAATCTAGGCACGCCAGGTGACACCATCAATTGCTGCACTTCACTGATGAATTTCCGATGAATGGACGACACCATGGCAATGTCATGGCAATGTCATCGCAATGTCATGGCAATGTCCTCCAATCTTGAAGTTCACTGACTTAATGTGCATGCTAACCGGCATGTGAGAACAACAAGCACAATGCATATCCGTGCTCGTGCAAACATGGATGCTTCGAGCGGACAAAAGGAAAATGGCTCATTGGATGCCTTGTGACCCGATGGACACTGCGTTTGGTTGTGCTTCACAGCCCAAAACACAAGATGAGGGTCTTGCGTAAATCCAACTGAGTTATGACCCAATAAATATCCATACGGTCCATACATCTATCGGATCTATCGTTTATCATGGACCGTGGATTTGGCCATAGTTGGTTTAAAACCATATAAAAACCATATAAATCACTCACTCCAACTTCTCCCTGCCCAGGGGCAATGCCATTGACGAAGAGCCGAAAGATCGGCTCCACAATCTTTAGCTCCACCTGGCCGTTGGGGACGGGTCAGGAAGAAAGTAACCAATGCTGGAAGCATTTTAAATGTTCAATCCTGATAAAATGGTAGGCTGGCGGACTCTTATCCTTTTTTCTGGGTGCAAAATAAACACCCTTATACTTATTGTTTGACTTATACCGTATACCATTGGAATCTCAGCTGAAAATGCCATGTTTAAAGCGTCCACCTTTAAAGCATGGCCCTCCCATGAGATCTCTTTGCTCTTACCCAGCGCCTCGGTACCGGCTTCATCCTGAACCAGCAGGGAGGGAGGGTCCCAGGATCATTCAAGGGAAGACCTTGCAGGGACGGTTATGAAGATTGTGTCAAGCAAGAGGCCGAATTCCACCCCGAAAGTCGCTCTTCAGCTTTAATCTCAAAGTATCTCAATTAATCGTTAGACAGAAACTAATTACAGTATCAGCAAAGCAGGAGCATTTTGTGGGCACTCCGATGTATCTCATCACCCTGTGAGATGTATAAACACTCCCAGGTGGAGTTCGCCTTGAACATCTCCTTTCATTTCGATCTGAAGTTTAAAGAAAAAACCCGCTGCTAACTGCTGACCTTTGCTTTTTCTACATCTCAACATATCTCAACGCTTGGAGGTTCCAACCACCACCACCATACTCCCATTCTCCTAGAGTCACCTTGCCTCAACGCCAACCAAATTACATTCTCGGATGCTCTCCCGGCAGAAAGCGAAGAAGGACCAGAAACTCCGAGGCAAAGCGAAGCGGCTAATGGCTGCCACCACCTCAGATTGCGGCTTGATCAATGAATTCAAGAGAACAAATTACAGGAAAAAACATGGAAAAACCATGGAAAACTGATGGGTTTCAGAGTAACACTCCATGGCAGGTCAATGAGAAAATCCACGGCGTCCCAACATCCTTCGATATTGTGAAGCTCAGATCCCAAAGATCCAAGCGACGTCCACTTTAAAGAAATCAACAAAGGCGTCCAGCTCCTGGTACTGATACATCAACAAGACTCCACTATGCAGGTCTCAGGACATATGGGGGTGGCTTGTCGCCACTTGAAACCTCAGTATTTCCCTTCTACGACTGTCATGAGACGATTTTATTCATGGAATGCTCCACTTGTGCAGAGAAAGCCACAAGTCCCTTCGTGCTTGAAAAAAACATCTTCGCTTCTGCCTTCCACGGATACATGATACATTCAAAGAACATAAAAGAACGATAACTCAATCTGTGGAATTTCGATCTAAATATGAAGCAGCTGCTCTTCCAAACCAGCGATTCCACAGCCCGAAGTTTTTGCCCGGCTTTGATCTATGACTTTACCATGGAACAACAGCAGTCCTTCTGAAAATCTGCGCGGAGTTCTTGTGATGCTTGCTCCTGGAAGGGATTTGAGAGGGATGGGTCTGGGGACAAACTTCACATAATGGACTGAGTTTGTCACTCGTTGTGTCCCAAAATCGGTGACCCCAAGAACCATGGGTCTTCGGTTTTCCTATTGAAATTAACCATTTCTATCCATGTCTCCCCAAGATTTTTGTCATACCTAAGTTTGCCAAGCAGCTCGAACTCAATCTCTGCCCTTGGTTCCCCTGGAAGGAGTCCTTTAGCTTTGCAGCGATGCTTGGCGATTCCCTCAGCTCGGTGGTAAATTGTGACTTCGGTGACTTCGGTCACTCGTGCTGAGTCGAAACAGGTCAGCTTCAATACGCAGTTTTTAATGCTGGGAACAAAAAGCATTGCAAGTTTCATCAAGTTTCTATGAGGACATTGCACTCGGTTTCAAGAGAATCACTCGACTTTGTCAAAAGCCAGGAGTTTGGAGCGGGTTGGCTCCAGCACAGAGCCCCACTTCCTTTCATCCCAGTTACAGATATCGGTTGAAGTCTAACGCCCAGGTCTGAGCTTTCTCCAACCTCGGGAATTGGTTTGGGAGGGCAAGGCTGATATTCTCCCCAAGTAATTTGACCTTCGACATGCTCCTTTTTCGGCCGGAGATTCTGCAGTTCAGACTATGCAAACTGACTCCTGGTTTTCATGAACTTGCCTTATGAAATTGGCTAGGAATAAACACATCCCCTGCTGAGTTCAGCCAAGACTCGTTTTGTAGGTCACTGCACCCATCAGAGTCACGGGCTGCCCCTGCTCGTCCATCTTGTGGCAGTCCTTTGGACCCAAATAACAGAGCGATCAGAATGCTGGGTACAACTGTTGAAGATATTTGAAGATAGTAAACTGGCCCTGCAATCTTTTGAAATATGATGGAGATCTCAGGGATGATGGCAAAACCAGCTTTCCAAAGCCTGTGGATTAACTCAGCCTTCCCAAGCTTTCAACCCAGGTGCCATGACAGGATGCACCACTACTTCATAGTTAAAGCGATGTAGTGCGAAGAAAGAGAAGAGCCGAAAGACCCGACTGCTGGGCTGAAAGACATCGTCGATGTTTTTGGCCTAGGGCAAGTGTCGGGGGTTCGGGCGCTGTGATGACAGGTTGTAGAAAACCCGCCACTGTGGCTACTGCAGGATGCTTTTAATATGGCCAAAGTGTCACCAAGCTGACAGAGATATTCCAAGCCCAGGGGCCGACTCCAACTCTTTGGTGGTCATCAGGTGCAGCAGCAAAATAAACCTCAGGTTGCACGGTTGCATCCACATCTTCGCTTCACTGCGCGAGGTCAACCATGCCACGATGCGACCGAAAAACAGGTTCCGGATCCTGCTGTCTTGGAGGTCTGCGAAGATGGCAGACACCACATTGACGATGACCTGAAGAGGAGCAACTGAAGGCAACAGTTTCCGTCACTTTGGAAAAACAGAAATATTTCAGTCGCCTAAGCCTGCTGTCCCATCTATAATGTTCATCAAATGTCACAGATTTCTTCAGAGTATCAACTTTCTGGTCAGTTATGGCCATCAGCTTACGAAAATGAGATTTCCTGTTTGAGCTTGGATAATTGACCGGGGTCTTGGCAGTTTCCACGCCTCAGCGGAGACTTCATCTTTGATGGTCATGGAGAGAGTGGCAAGGTAGGACACCTGTAGCTGCAACACAGTGAACAACTCCTGGCGGCCGCAGAAGATCCTTTGGAACTGGTCCCTTTTGATCCTTTTGGAACTGTTTCCACTGGCATTGAACCCCGAGAAAATAATCACTTCTCAGCTCTGACAAAATACGACTTAAAAGCGCGTGGGTCCTCATAGGTGGATACTTTGCTCTTGATTTCTTGATCCAATCCTGAGCACCAAATGCCAAACTTCCAAAATGGGATCCCTACTCTTTGGACAGCACTCCAACTTGTCTAAGAAAGCCTCCAACTAATGAACTGATATGAACTGTGTGGCAGGTTTGTGCCAATTCATTTTCACCTCAGCACAAACAGCCGTTGTCACTTTTGGCAAAACCCTGTCAAGATCCCACAGTGCGCCACTCTGTGTTGGAACGAATCGACTGTTCAAACGTCAACGAGGAACTGATCATGAGAACCAAGTGCCACCTGTCCAAAGCACAATGTGGCAAAGACTGAAACGGCAAACCTCAGTGGAAGTTCCTGTGCGCCCCACTGTAGATGTATTCCATTCCTTCTTTGCCATACCAATACATGTCTTCGGAATCCATTGGCTCGTTAGCAATCCAGCTTGGTACCCCTTCCCCGATGAATGATCTGAATGTTGGCTGTTCATAGTGATAGAGATCACGGTGTGGGTCAAAGAGGTAGTCATCATTGTGATCAACAACCTCTTCCAATTCATCCAGGGTCTGAATGGGCCGTTGTTGCATCGTTGCGAACTCAGGCACCGTCTCTTGGTCTTCAGGATCTACATGGAAAAAACTGTGCTGCAGAGCCTCCCACGCACGTGCTCGCTTGAAGCGGCTCCACAAGGTCATATGCTTCACAAGATCAGCGCCATGCCTAAGGTCTCAGACAGCACTTCGTTTCTCAGGTCAGGCCATCTAAACAAGGTAAGTTGATATAAACCAATGCAGAAATCTTGGAAGCCCTGCTGCACAATCATACAACATCATAGAATTAAGAATTAGAGAGTATATTAGAGTAGATATGCAGCATTGAAAGGCCAAGGAGCTTGTGAAACTTGGTGCCCTTGAGATTGCCATACTGGCGCAAACCATCCAATGCATCTTGCATATTCCCTCGGTGACCCTCCAAGGCCGAACTGAATCTTTCACGCAGAAAAACTCGGTTGCGCCTCCCGCATTCATCATGATCAAAAAGTCGCGTGCGCTCGTCCATTCCAAGCATACTCTGAACTCCCCATATCCACAAGCTCGTGCTCATTCACAGCCGACTCAAAATCAATCAAAGTCAACTTCCCATCGGAATAAAGCACGTTCTCTCGTTTGATGTTGCAATGAACGATTTCGCGAAGGTGCAACGCATCAAGCACTTGGAGCAACTGCTTCATGTAGCACTGTATGTCCTTGGGCTCTTTTGGTGAGTAGTTGCCCTCGATATAGGGAAAGTACAGACTGCGTAATTCTAAGGTGTTGTACTGGGGAAACCATGATGGCGAACAATGTGACCAAGCCAGAACAGGAAGCACTCCATCCACCCTGGACAACGCATGGTTTGCGTCAAGTATGTCTTCCTGACGATCTTGCCGAACGTGCTGGTCTTCACAACCGAAACGTCGATGGTCCTTTCACGGTGCAATGTCTGAAGAACATGTTCAACGTCATCTTCCTCTATCTTTGCACAAAGGAAATCCAATTCGACGACTTGGTCTCCGACCACAACCTGGCTGGTGTCACCAAACCCTCAAAAATCTGAGCATCATGTGATCATTGGCCAAGTCATGGAGATTAAAAAGGAAAAGAAAAATAAAGAAAACAAGTACCCTCTGGTAATTTAACATAGCTATGGAAAATCACCATTTTTAATGGGAAAATCCATAATAAATGGTCATTTTCAATAGCTATGTTAAATTACCAGAGGGTACTCCGAATATGTTGCCTCGCAACTGTCTGGCCAGAACTCTGAAGCTCAAATTGACCATCCAAAACACGCTGCAGCAGTTCAGCTTTTGCAGTGACTTCCTCGGCTAAGCCGTATGGCCTCAGGACAAGTTTTCCTCCTTTCAAAGGTTTCGAGGCCAAAAACGGTATGGGCTGGTCCTCCTTTGTGGGAACTTGGCATGCGGACTGTGCGGACTGTGCGGACTGTGCGGACTGTGTTCCTCACTTCCACCATCATAGCCCGCAAGGCGGCCCGAAGCTCGCTGTTGGCAGCCATCCTTGTCTGCCAAACAATGCACTGGGAAGGATTCGTGGGTGCCACTGCTGTCTGAACCGCTTTTTTCCGGCCCTGTCTCTCTGACGATCTGCTTCTTCATGGGCATCAAGTCCGAATTCCACGTCAACTTGGGCATGAATTCGCAAAGTCCGCGGGCCAAAGGCAATGGATTCACATTTTTTGCTGTACGGGGCTGCAGAGACAGGCACAAGCTCAAAAACTCTCTCCAGTCTCCGGAGGCTCTGTGGAGAAAGAAACCTTTTTAGTCATTCTAGCAGGCACATATCATTGCAATCATATCTGCATTTCCAAAGATGTGGTCCCGACTTGAAGCTTTGTCTATTTAGGAAAGAGGAATTGGATTGTTGGGTCTTCCATTTTGAGAGGCGTCTTTCATCAGCCGGCTTCAAAAGGATGTGACAAACCACTATGTAACACACAGCAGCACTACAAATGCAGCACGATGCTCTCGGAGATTCTGTGCATGTTACATTTGTCATCCCAAAGTCTCATCCTGGATCATCCTGACACCTCACAGTCAAGGGGCGATCGTCCTCGGAAGTTTTGGGCACCGGCCCATGCAGGATCTCATTCAAATGTACGATGCCCTTCTGCACCCGATCCTGCTCGCAGCATCCCATGGGGGAAAAAGAAATTCAGGCCATCTGCTATGGGACTGGCCAAAATCGCTAGGAAATCCCTTTTTTTTGGCAATTCCCAACTTTTCACCCCATCGCCCCCCACCATGGACCGCCACTGGCCTCGAGGATGCTGAGACGACGTTCCTTCTCGGTGACGATGGCTAAGCTGTGCGCGCAGCTCTCCACCAGCTTCTTCAATTCCTGTGGCGGATGGCAGCCATGTGTACCATGTGGGGCTAGAGGACCCCGAAAAAAATGGTCATCAACTGGGGGTAACTTACTCAATGACCACCCAATTTATGGCAATTTGAAGCGGAATGGGGCATACTCCCGGAGATTTAGGATCTGAAACCGTGTTGGGTTGATTCTTGTGACCCATCCGCATCCACGAGTAGAAATCAATAGAGGGCCAGGAAAGGGAATCAAATGGAATCAAATGATGCCCCAAAGCCCCAAAGATCAGTCTTTTGCTACTGTTGATGGTCTCACAGAACCAGCTTCCATGAGTTTGTGGTGAGCCTATAGATCTTGACAATTCACTCTAGAAAAGGCCCATGCAACCGAATCCAACCCGGTGAACAGATACCTGTGCTTCAAACTGACATGGACAGGGATTCGGATGGATTCGGTGAGGGTACCGGATCCCATTGGTGCCTTCTCGTGCTTGTGCAGACTACCTTGGTCTTTCAAGGAGCTCCTGGGTTCCAGGACTCCAGGATATCCAGCAACACCACAATTTGCCTTGCAGAATCAGGATGTTTACATGGATAAACACAAAGAAGATCAAGTTAAGAATAAAAACAACTACCTGAAGCCTCAATTGACTCAAACCCCCTTGATCTTTCGAGTGATTTTGGGAATGGCCAGCACCTCAGCCCCAAATGCTTCGACCGCCACCGAGCCACTGATCTTGTTGCTTTCGGGTTCCTCCTTCAGCATCATCCTCAACACCCAGCACCCATGGTGGATGGTCATCCAACAATTCTTAAAGATTCCCGACACAGTGGGTGAATAAACACCTCTCATGAATGGGGGTACGGATCTTCCTTTAATTTCAATCCCAGTTTTGTCATGTATTATTAAACGTGATATCATGTTCCACAAACGCTGCTTCGAAGCGGATCTGCGATGTGGAATGTGCAACTGGCACAACGCCGCCTCGAAACCCTGCCTTCTGATTCAGGTACTTTACGTCATGGTCCAAAAAAGAAGAAAATGACTGTTTCCCAAAGTGTCACAGCCTCCGCAACAGTTGAGATGACCTAATCACTGTTTCATCAAACGGTGCCCAGAGCTACGATTGCCGCACCGCTTTTTTCCAAGGCTCTGCATCGTGGAGAAGCGCTGGACTTTCTGACCTGGAGGCAAGGGCGACCCATGGTCAAAATCTGGTGAATGGAGCTGTTTTTGGGCTTCCTTTCGAAGAGATCACTATAAAACCAGCCAAGAAATGGTCGCAGCTCAGCCAATCATTCAGCGAGCCAAGGCGCCTGAAGTGATCGCGTGCAACATGTTCTCCTTGGTCTTGTCTTCCTCGCCACTATCCTTCAGAGGTAGCCGCTGTACAATTGCTGCGGTTATTTATATATATATATGTGTGTGTGTGTACATGTTTATGCTATGATATTGACTATCCCCAGTGATATTTGGAATATCCATTTACGAAGCACGAAGCACAAAAAACCGATGCCCCTTGGACATTCCGCTGCCTCATCCTCCACATCGGACAAACTGCCCTCCACATCGCTGCCGCCGTCTTCTGTAGCAGGCCGACCCTGCGCCGCATCCCAAAGAACCCGGCGAGATCTGATCATCAGGAACCACATGTCTCTATGCGCATGTGTGTATATATATATAGAGAGACAGAGAGAGATAGATATACATGTGTATGTATATATATATATATAGTGTATAGTGTGTATATATATATATGTATATGTATATACAATGTACATACTGCATATATCTATCTCTACATACATATAAACATTATACATGTACGGGAAAGTATAACTGACGAGTTGATGCAACTTCCCCACCTCTCCAATGGTGGCCAGGGCCGCTGCAGTCACCTTCTTCTGAGCATCGCCTGGCGCTGAAGATCTGATGGTAGATTCACATCTGAAATGAAAAAGAAATCATCATATATAACCCATGTGGGAATCTCAATAGTAAACAATTGGGGTTAGTCTATTATTGGGTTTACCACAGCAATGATAATTCATTATATAATGATGATTTATGAATTATAGTGATGAAAGTGATATGGCTAGATCTCATGATTTATGATAGTCTAAAAGCTATGATAATTATGATTTGCTCATGATACCTCGTCATGAAGAATCATAGACCATCGCAAATAATTAATCATAAATCATCCTAGATCATCATAAAGCAGGTTTTCAGCCTAGTCCAAAGTCTCCACATTCTCCGCTTATAAGCAATGCTGTGCCTTGATCCCGTTGCTGACTACTAAAGCAGTTGCGAAAACTTCTGCTTTCATCATTGCTCGCATAGTCCCTACATCAAGAAATCTTGTGTATCCCGGGCTTTCCAAGCTCATCGAAGGGAATCGGAGTGCCAAGGCTGCCGGGTGTAAAATCCCACACTGCGCAGAATCTGCTTTTCCAAGCCAGTGGCCTTTCAAGCCATGGTCATCATCACAGGCAAGAAAATCGGAATGGCCCATGCCTGTTATGCTGTGCAAGCGACCCATCAGTCAGCACAGTTTCTGAATTTTCAACACCTCGCTCGGTCGGATCTGTGCTCCGAACTGGGCAGTCTGTCACAACTGAACCGCACCCCTCTGTGGCTATTGCCGTGCTGCCATTGTGACTGTCAAAAATCTACAAATTTCATGGATCACTTTTAATTTTCCAGTCGATTTTGGATCATTGGCAGCTCGGCTCATTGGTATCTCTAGGCCTTTGCCACAAAGCAGTCCATATCCATGGGCGCATGCACTTCATCGCCACCTTGCAGCTTCAGCCGGTAGGCGTTGCACTCATCCCATTGCCGCACCACCACACCTAACACCCAGGTTCCCATGTTGGATCATCGTTACACCCCTAAAACCACTATATTAACCACTATGTCACTATGTTGACCACTGACTATGGTTATTTTAAGAACCACTATTCAGGCAATCTCTGCTATTCAGGTGATATGTCATCACCCCAGGCTGCAGTTTTTCACCCCCACGGTTTAACCATGTTTTCACCAGTGAGTTTGGGCACCACACCTCTCTCCCAGTCATGGGGACCAGCACCGGTCTTGGCCATGACTGCTGTGCCAACAGGAAATCTCAAGGGCTTTGTCTGTAGACACGACTTGAAACCTGTCGGACAACCATGCGATCAGCCACCCTGTGTTTCACCCAGCAATGCCCCCGCCAAAAAACTAGACGACGGTTGGCCCGAGAGCGAAAAACACGTCCTTCAAGCAGCTCTGAGTATGGTAGTCGTAAAAAATAGTCGGTGAATGGTTCGTGAATTTTATATGAGCTATGGAGGGGAAAGTTGTGAAATTACACACAGACGCTTTTACACACAAACACTTTCACAGACGCGTTTACACACAGAGACTTTTACACACAGACGCTTTTACACACAGACACTTTTACACGCAGACGCTTTTACACACAGGCGCTTTTACACGCAGATGCTTTTACACACAAACACTTTCACAGACGCGTTTACACACAGAGACTTTTACACACAGACGCTTTTACACACAGACACTTTTACACACAGACGCTTTTACACACAGACGCTTTTACACACAGAGCTTTTACACACAGACGCTTTTACACACAAACACTTTCACACACAGAGGCTTTTACACACAGACCCTTTTACACACAGACCCTTTTACACACAGACGCTTTTACACACAGACGCTTTTACACGCAGATGCTTTTACACACCCACACACACACTTTCATACACAGAGGCTTTTACACACAGAAGCTTTTGAAGAGTGTCTCTATATGACATTTTATGGTCCTGAACTCAAACTGTTCTGTTTTTGACATCAAGCACATGATGGCATCGAGCTCTGTTGCAAACGTTTGCAGACATTTCACTAGTGAAGTATTGTCACATGTGTCATTTACAGCATCATGGTACCGATCTTTTTTGGGCCATTTATGTGGGATTTTCCATAATAAAATGAAATAACATGTGTCATACACAGCATCATGGTACCGAGCTTTTTTGGGCCATTTATGTGGGATTTTCCATACTAAAATGAAATGACATGTGTCATACACGGCATCATGGTACCGAGCTTTTTTGATAGTTTCTGTGGGATATTCCCAGAATAAAATGAGATAACGCGTGTCATTTACTGCATTATCGTATTGGACCTTTTTTTGTGCAAACGTTTGCAGACATTTCACTAGTGAAGTCTTGTCACATGTGTGATTTACAGCATCATGATACCGATCTTTTTGGGCCATTTATGTGGGATTTTCCATAATAAAATGAAATAACATGTGTCATGCACGGCATCATGGTACCGCGCTTTTTTGGGCCATTTATGTGGGATTTTCCATACTAAAATGAAATAACCCGTGTCATACACAGAGGCTTTTACACACAAACGCTTTTACACGCAGATGCTTTTACACACACACACTTTCACACACAAACGCTTTTAAACACAGACGCTTTTACACACAGAGGCTTTTACACGCAGATGCTTTTACACACACACACACTTTCATACACAGAGGCTTTTACATACAGAAGCTTTTGAAGAGTGTCTCTATATGACATTTTATGGTCCTGAACTCAAACTGTTCTGTTTTTGACATCAAGCACATGATGGCATCGAGCTCTGTTGCAAACGTTTGCAGACATTTCACTAGTGAAGTATTGTCACATGTGTGATTTACAGCATCATGGTACCGATCTTTTTGGGCCATTTATGTTGGATTTTCCATAATAAAATGAAATAACATGTGTCATACACAGCATCATGGTACCGAGCTTTTTTGGGCCATTTATGTGGGATTTTCCATATTAAAATGAAATGACATGTGTCATACACGGCATCATGGTACCGAGCTTTTTTGATAGTTTCAGTGGGATATTCCCAGAATAAAATGCGATAACGCTTGTCATTTACTGCATTATGGTATTGGACCTTTTTTTGTGCAAACGTTTGCAGACATTTCACTAGTGAAGTCTTGTCACATGTGTGATTTACAGCATCATGGTACCGATCTTTTTGGGCCATTTATGTTCAACTTGTGCTTACGTGATGGTTTGGGTTGGTGGTTTGGAAGTCTGGGAATTGATGGTTTTGTAAACTTAGAAAAAACAAAAAATATCAAACCCTGCAAACAATGAAATCGTTGAAAATAAAGAAAACAAATTTAAAACAACAATGATTGCTACCAGATTAGGTTTGTTTTTGAATTGATATTCATCTTGTATCTCGGAAAATGTACACTTTTGAAGTGCACTCCATGCACTATAGGGGCTTTACAAGGGTTTCACTCCATCTTGCGGTGACCCGCGACCATTTACTCTCAAGGGAGGGTAAACTAGCGCCTGACGGCGAACGGAGACGCCATCTTCTCGGAAAAGGTGGCACCCACTGCTTCGTGGACAAGGCGGACCGGACTTCGGGAGCCGTGATCCCCCCAGACTTCGCATTGGTAGCGGAGCCAGCTGAGCCTCAGTGCTCTTGGCTCTGTTCTGCTCTGCTCTGCTCAGGAGCCTGCTGAGCCCTCGTGCTCTTGGCTCTGTTCTGTTCTGCTCTGCTTAGGAGCCTGCTGAGCCTTCGTGCTCTTGGCTCTGTGCTGCCTTGGAGCCAGCTGAGCCTTTAGTACTCTTGGCTTCGTTCTGCCGCGGCCCTTGCTGAGCTAAGGTCCTGTGCAGGCCTTCTGTGCTTTGCCCTGTGCAGGCAACCGGTGACTGGGAACTACATCCTGGACTATGTCTTCAGCGGCGAGTTCAGCTGGTGACACCGCGGTGACCAAGGACAACTATGTGCCCTTGTTCAGCGGTGCCCCAAGCGACTACCGCGAGTGGAGAAAGAGGATCTCCCTGTACATGACCAAGATGAAGCTGCTCAAATGAGAAGCTGAAGGAGTCTTGAACCTGATCTCCAGCCTGACGGGCACGGCTTGGAAGCTGGTCGAATCGTTTCCGTTGGAGGATGTGGAGAAGAGCGATGCCTTTAGCAAGCTTCTCAAGATGCTGGACAAGGCCTTCGAGTATGACAATCGAGTTCAACTCCCTGGCGACTTCGACAAGTACTTCAGCGGCTTCCAGCGCCATAGCGGCCAAACCTTGCTGGACTACTGCACCCAGCATGACGAGCTCTACAACAGGTTGGCCGACCACAAGGTGACGCTGCCTGGACAGGTGCAGGGCTGGCACCTCCTGCGCCGTGCGGGATTGACCCGCGAGCAGCGCCAGCTGGTGCTGACACAAGCGCCCACCTTGGAGAAGAACAAGGTCCAGGAGACGCTCTTCCTGGTGCTGGGCCAAGACTACAAGACGGTGGCCGGGCACTCCAAAGGAGGTCACCGTGGAAAAGGCCGTGGTTATGCAGCCTTCTATGTGGTGATGATGAAGCCGATCCAGGTCAATGGGATGAGCCCTACAACTACGATGATGATGGCTACTCCGCCCACTATGAGTACGACGAGTACTACACGGAGTACAATGACTCACCGACCCACTATGAGTCTCCCTCGCACCATGGGTACTATGAGGAGGACACCACTGGGTTTGACGATGATGCAGCCTACTATGGTGATGAAGCTCCTCCTGAACACCCACAAGAGCAGGCTGAGGAGTACGACAGTGCCTTTGCGGCCTACCTTGATGCTCGCGAGCGCTTCAATGACATCAAGCTGGCACGTGGCTACCTGCCCATCGTCGCCCTCAGCGAAGCTGGTGCTGGACTTTCCCCTGGCATTTCGCCAACAGCCTCCCCTTCGTCTTCGCCTGGTCGAGGAAAAGGGAAAGGCAAACCAAAAGGGAAGAACAAGGGCAAGGGTGGTCGCACGACCGTGAAGTACCCACCACGTGGTCCTGGAAAAGCCGATCCTCGTGGACGTGCTCAAGCAGCCCTGGCATCTACGACGTGCCTGAGGTGTGGACAGCAGGGTCACACAACCTACAGCTGTCCAGTTCCCAGAGGGAGCCCCAAGAAGAGAGCTGCTCCTGGCCCAACCGAATCAGTGGTTGGAGATGAGCATGGACTTGTCATCTTCTTGGATGACCGTGGCCATGAGCGACCTGACTGCTCTATGCTGGACCCTGGCGCTTCAGCATTTCTGAGCGGCTACGGTCCCTTCAAGCGCTACGTGGAGAAACTGCGCGAGATGGACTTTGACAGCACGCAGCTGGAGTTCATGCGATGCTCTCGCACCTTCCACTTTGGAGGCGATGCAAGCTCTCAATGCCAGTGGACGGTGAAGCTGCCTATGTTCCTGGCTGGCCAGTTTGGCTATGTCCAGATGTACCTCCTTAAGGGAGAAACGCCTATGCTGATGGGACGGCCAATCATGGAGCAACTTGGATTGGTCCTGGACTGCGGCCGACGATGCATCAAGCTTGGCGACATGGACTGGCAGCCCACTGTGATTGGAGCCCATGGCGAATACCTTTTGCCACTTTTGGATGACTACGACTTGGCCTGGCTGGCTCACCCACCAGCGTTTGAGCTGATTGCCCCAGCCGACACCGAAGCCAACACCACGCCCTTCAAGGAGTTCAACAACTTGGAGAACCTGTTCGAGATGGCCCCAACTGAATGTGCATCAAATGAGGGCATGCGCCCTACGCAGCGCCATCTGTTGGACACTTGTGACGTCCACTTGAACGAGTTGGAGAACAGCCTCCATGCCTATGTCACCTCCGAGCTACACAACTCTGGTGACCGACCTCGGGTCTTGTGGGAAGTGTACTGTGGTGAGGCTCGAGTGGCCAAGATCGCCGAAAGCATGGGCATGACTGTGGAATGTTTTGGGCCCAACACTGGATGGGACTTTGATGATCCTGAGCACCAACGTGCCTTTCTGGAACGTCAACGTGATGAGATGCCAGATGAGGTTTACATCAGCCCTGACTGCCGGCTGTGGAGCCAAATGCAGAACCTTGCGGCTCGAACTGAGTCACAGCAGCTGGAGCTCTACAACAAACGAGCCAGACACCACAAGGTGCACTTGAAGTTCGTTGCCCAGATCTACATGGAGCAGGTGGACAATGCCCGACATGCTCACATAGAGCAACCTGAACTTGCTCGCAGTTGGAAGACCACCGCACTCAAAGATCTTCCGGGCTACTTCACGATCTTCCACCAGTGCATGTTTGGCAGCTGCTGCCTCAACCCTGTTGGCTCGTGGGAGCTTGTGAAAAAGGCGACAGCCCTTCTGACCTCCAAGGTCACGATGTCAGTGGCGATGAATCGACTTTGTGATGGGCAACACAACCACTGTGCTTTGGAGGGATCTGCAAGCGGCATTGGCCGTAGAACGTCCTACATGGAGAACTACCAGCCCAGCCTTGCGGCAACACTGGCCTCTGTGATCTACGCTCCAGATCCACCTCAACTATGGGAACACGCTATGGCAGTTCCGGAGCAGAAGGAGGTCACTGGTAGACTCATCCAGTTGCAGACCAACCTCAAAGCAGAAGCGGTGCGAACAGTCCAACGGCTACACCGCAACTTGGGGCACCCGAGCCCAGAATCCCTTGTGGAACTTCTTCAAAGTCGAGGTGCTTCAGATGCTGTGGTTGAAGCCGCCCGCTCTTACAAGTGCGTGGCCTGTTTGCGCTACAAGAAGCCCAACAACCCATCCCCAGCGACTCTTCGACAACGAGCCACTGAGTTGGGAGAATGTGTTCAAGCTGACGTTCTCTGGCTGAAGATTGGCGACAGCAAGTTTCCAGTTTTGTCTGTGGTCGACACCGCCACCAAATACCAAGTGGCATCTCTCCTGAAGTCCGAGCGTGGTCCTGACCTTATCAAGGGCCTCGAGCGATGCTGGATCAAGCACTTTGGCATCCCCACCAAATTGGTGACGGACGAAGGGAGAGGATGGTGTGGCACTGAGTTCTCTGAATGGACCACTGACTTTGGTGTCCAACATGAAGTTGCCCCAGGTGAAGCTCACACGCGTTTGTCTGCAGTTGAGCGCCGACACTCTGTCTTGCGCAAGGCGGCCGAGATCTTTATGACTGACCGCAACCTGGACAACACCACTGGAGTCCGAATGGCTCTGACCTATGTGTTGCCCCAGATCAACTCTTCGACAACGGTGGCTGGCTTCAGCCCTATGCAATGGGTCCTGGGCAAGCAGGTGACACTACCTGGTGAACTTTGTGGTGAACGACTTTCACCGGGCCAACTTGATGGCTACAACTTTGAGAATGTCCTCAAGAACCGCACTGCCGCCAAAACAGCCTTAGCCCAAGCTGAGGAAGACTCCAAGCTCCGAAGAGCACTACTGCGACAGTACCAAGGCACCAACTTTCCAATCGAAGTTGGACAGCTTTGCCACTTTTGGCGTGATCAGAGGGAGGACAAGCTCACCGAGATCAGATGGCACGGTCCTGCACGTGTGGTGATGCGAGAAGATGATGATCAAGGAACACCCCACACCTACTGGCTGGCTTGGAAGACACAACTGCTGCGATGTGCACCACATCATGTGCGTGCTGACCTGACGTCTATGGCCAACCAGATCGAGGACGCCAAGGAGGCCAAGAAAGCCGTTGCTGGACTTCGCTCACGTGGTGTGACGCGCTTCTTGGACTTGGAGCGCATCAACAAGCACAACTTGGACGACTTGGATGATGATGAGATGAGCGATGGAGCAGGGGACGATGATGATGATCTCCAACCTCCACGCCAACGGCGACGTCTTGAAGGCCTGCTCTACCTGTTCAAGGTCTTCCAGCACTACCTGGCCTTGGCGACCCTGATGGTGGCCCACGCACACCTGGGTACTCACCTCTTGTGGATCAAGATGCAGCTGCACACCTTCCAGTGCCACACTTGTTGGTTTTACCATGCACTCTGCCTGATGCAGGTTCCATGGAGGTTCCATGCAGATTCCATGCAGGTTCGAGGGAGTTGTCATGGAGGTTACACACCAGTAAGCTAAACCAGCAAACCCAGCATTTAACCAACATGAAACCTGCATGGAAACTGCATGGAAACTCCATGGAAACTCCATGAAACCTGCATCAGTCAGAGTACTGTACAGGATAGGACCGCAATGGAATTTGTTTCAAGAGAAACTGTTTTTTTCTCTGCTTTGCTTTCATGTAGATTATTTAGATAGAATAGATAGGTAAGGTCACTTGGATAGAGTAGGCATATTAGATAGATCAGATAGAAAAGGTAGACTAGGTGGATTAGATAGATTAGATAGATTAATAGACAGACTTGAAAGATTAGAGAGGTTGGATTAGATTAGCTTAGATTAGATTAGATAAGATCAGAGAAGATTAGACTAGTTTGATAGACAAATAGACAAACAAATAAATAGATAGATTATGTAGATATATGAGATTGGTTGATAGATTGATAGATTGATAGATTGATAGATAGATAGATAGATAGATTGATTGATAGATATATAGACAGACAAACAAATAGATATATTGGATATGATATATTAGATAAGTAAATAGATAGACAGACAGACAAACAAACAGATAGACAGATACTTAGAAAGATTTAGATTTAGATTAGATTAGGTTAGATTTAGATTTAGAATTAGGATTTAGAATTAGGATTTAGAATTAGGATTTAGAATTAGGATTTAGAATTAGGATTCAGAATTAGGATTTAGAATTAGGATTTAGAATTCGGATTTAGAATTAGGATTTAGAATTAGGATTTAGAATTAGGATTTAGAATTAGGATTTAAAATTAGGATCTAGAATTAGGATTTAGAATTAGGATTTAGAATTAGGATTTAGAATTAGGATTTAGAATTAGGATTTAGAATTAGGATTTAGGATTTAGAATTAGGATTTAGAATTAGGATTTAGAATTAGGATTTAGAATTAGGATTTAGAACTAGGATTTAGAACTAGGATTTAGAACTAGGATTTAGAATTAGGATTTAGGATTAGAATTAGGATTTAGAATTAGGGATTTAGAATTCGGATTTAGAATTAGGATTTAGAATTGGGGATTAGAATTAGGGATTAGGCGGGATTAGGATTAGGGATTAAAATTAGGGACTAGAATTAGGGATTAGAATTAGGGATTAGAATTAGGGACTAGAATTAGGGATTAGAATTAGGGATTAGAATTAGGGATTAGGATTAGGGATTAGGATTAGGGATTAGGATTAGGGATTAGGATTAGGGATTAGGATTAGGGATTAGGATTAGGGATTAGGATTTGGGATTAGGATTAGGGATTAGGATTAGGGGTTAGGATTAGGGATTAGGATTAGGGATTAGGATTAGGGATTAGGATTAGGGATTAGGATTAGGGATTAGGATTAGGGATTAGAATTAGGGATTAGAATTAGGGATTAGAATTAGGGATTAGGATTAGGGGTTAGGATTAGGGATTAGGATTAGGGATTAGGATTAGGGATTAGGATTAGGGATTAGGATTAGGGATTAGGATTAGGGATTAGGGATTAGGATTAGGGATTAGGATTAGGGATTAGGATTAGGGATTAGGATTAGGGATTAGGATCAGGGATTAGGATTAGAGATTAGGATTAGGGATTAGGATTAGGGATTAGGATTAGGGATTAGGGATTAGGATTAGGGATTAGGATTAGGGATTAGGGATTAGGATTAGGGATTGGGGATTAGGATTGGGGATTAGGATTAGGGATTAGGATTAGGGATTAGGATTAGGGATTAGGATTAGGATTAGGGATTAGGATTAGGGATTAGGGATTAGGGATTAGATTAGATTAGGATTAGATTAGATTAGGATTAGATTAGATTAGTTAAGCAAAAAATAAAACAAATACAAAACACACAAAAAAAACACATTTTTCAAATCTATTTTGCACATAACTCTGATTTCCCAGACTTCCAAACCACCAACCCAAACCGCCATATAAGTATAACCTGAATGCTTCTGGGCACAAAATATCACAAAATCATTGATGGGGTCGGCAAAGATCACAGGAATTTCGGCCCCAAGCCCTTCAGGTGGTGTCGGCGGACGCTTCACCTTGCTGCAAGATGGCAGAATCGGTCAACCGTCGCCAAGGTCGACTAATCTCTCACTCCATTCGTCCAGGCTCCACACTTTGGGATCGTTCCGAGCCTGGGCCGATCGAATCTCAGAAATGATTCACGATGAGGGATGATCATCCAAGAATAATTAAGAATAGATGATGATCGGATATAATTGGATGATGAGTGTCATAACAGACGCATGTCTGATGATGGATGGATCATGCCAGTGATGCTATTGCTGGTAGCTGGCAGCTGTGCAGGTGCCTCACTTGGCTTATGCCGCGTCAACGGCAAAGCAGCTGCAATCTGCGGCGAGCCGACGCTGACATCTTTTCTCGCTGGATCCAGAATCAATTGGTGTATTTCTGTGTCTAAATCTGTGCATAGCACTCATGCCATGCAAACTTGCTCATACCTATACTACATATATTTACCTCGAAACCATCATTGAAAGTTGTTTGTTTCATATTCCTTGCAGTGAATTTGCACCTCGAATTCAGCTTTGACGTTGTCGACATGAGTTTCTGGTCCTTGCCCGAACTAAGCATGGCTCCAAGATGCTCCAAGGGGCCTTGTCTTTGGTTTTTTGTCGGGCTTTTTGGAGCAACTCCCAGAGGTAACCCTGTCAGCGAGGAGGATGCTCAACAATCGAGGATCTGATGGGTTTGTAACGGTTTGTACAACTTCCTTTGGGATCTCAGTATCAAAGCTGGAGCTGCAAGGCCTTACTGGCGCTTGGTGGAGCGCCTTGGAGCACTGCATTAAACTGTCTACGGGTAGCAGCGGGTAGCAATTGAATCGGATTTTGAATCCATTTGAATCCTAAAGTCAGCTGAATCGAAGCAAAAAGCAGCTGAAGGCATTCCCAAATTGCAGGAATCTAGTACGGCCGGTGGCCGGCGAATTATTGCTATTTGATGGAGACTGATACAACAATATCACGTAAGAGTACATCACAAAATTCAAGTCTCTGTTGAAAGACAAACCCATGAGTCGAGATATGTCGAGATATGTACCGCCAGGTCGAGCTCATGACTTTGCTTTCCATTTGCTGATTGATCTTCAGCTTCCTGCAATGAAACGGGCTGAAATATCTCTGTCAACACGATACAACCTCGCATTCCAAAACATCAGAGGCATAGCCAGGGAGATAGAGAAATAGGGAAAATGTCTCACTTGTAAATGCATTCTTGACATGTATCCAGTTGGATTCAGAATTTCAAACAGGGAAACCCCTCGCGGTGGCAAGCCTCTTTGTTTCCTGTCTCACTACCAGCTGGTTGGTCACCTGGCAGAATGACGTGTGGCAACCGATCATCTTGATACATTTTTCCAGCTACAAGCTGGACCCCACACCACCAAAGGCTGCTGGGAGTGGATCAAGTTTGTATAAATAACATGACAAAATAACCAAATGCGGTGTGGTTGATGCGTGGGGTTGTGCCAGAATGACTCAGAATGATGAATGCTGAATGAAAACATGATTCCCTTGATCACACTCTATCAACAAGATAAGCGAAAACTATGACAAACCATAAGAACCCAAAAGTCTGAAGCTTGGTTCGTTGTTTCACTTTCAAACTCGTGAACTAAACTGCAACGGTGCCACAACATCTGGTCGCATCTGGTCTTCTGGATTGTGAATGGAAATGGGTCCGAAAAGCTGAGAGACAATTGAGCCACTTTCATCATGAAAAGGCTGTTGCTCATGTTGCTCAATTAAGGGGCTTTCAGAAACTTTCAGACTACTCGCTTAGAAACTTTACATGTGCGAGTGCTTCATCTCTCACCTGCACTTGGGGAAGCATTTGGCTCAACGACCTTGGAGGGATGTAGCGTATGCGCAGTGTCCATCTGTCCAATTGAAATGACAATACTGCGACTGCATCCATACTTTTGCGTCGCTTGCTGAAAACCGGAGAGGAGAAGATTAACGTTGTTTTTGATTAAATTCAGGCTTTCCAAAAATCTTGCAATCGCATCAAAGATCCAGACATCTGCTTCTGGTGATGCACATTGCCTCCACAGCACAGCAAAGTTCAGTTCAAGTTGTCCTTCTTCAACTGCCAAGAAGCCTCATCATTAACCGCCTAATCTCTTCAATGAGGAATGGAACTCTGATCTATAAGAAAATTCTGAGAATACACCATATATCCTTACGAGCTCTCGGACTCGGAACCCTCCTTCAGTATATCTTTCTGCTTCAAACCAGCCACCAAGAAAAACTAGGAATCTTAGTCGAATCTTAGTCGGCCCTAGTCCAACCCACGTGTCTTTGCCACCTGGTCGTCTCGCTGTGCGCTGTCGCAGCTGATGGATCTCAGGACAGTCGGAACTAGTCGGAACACATCATAGGAGGACTAGATTCACCTAGATTCACTAGCGTCAGCTTTCCTGCCCGGTGGTATTGAGGTTGAACCTTCGATATGTTGGCTTTGTGCCCTGATTCGGTGGAGGGTTTGATAAAGGGAAATCACTATTTCAACAATGAATCTGGCCAAAATCAATGAGCAACATGCAGATACATGACTGCGGATCCTTGTAATGACAACTATTCTACAATTATTCCAATATATTCCAATAGTGTACAGTGTACCATACTGTACAAGTCTTTTATATTCTTTCATTATGAAACACAGCAAAGATCAGCTGATCAGCAAACATTTTGTGGGGCCCCAGGCCCAACACCCTGCGCCACATTTGGGCCAGGCTTGCCACCAGTTCCGCCCGACGTGCAGCTGGCGGAGAGTTCAGATCCCGAAGATTGGATGGTGATTTCAATGTCACTTCAATGTCATTTGAATGTCATTTCTGCAGAGTTTTTGAGGAGCGTCACATTGACACTGGACGAGCCAACTCCAGAAGTTGTGTCAGAAACTTCCTTGCACCTTGAACACCTCTCAAATTCGATCTTACGATTTCAATATTTAATGCGAATGCAAAATGATTTTCTACCAACCATATCCAATAGTATCCAATTTTAAGTATCCAATTTTTCGTATCCACGTTTGTATCACCATCACCAGGTCTGTTCATATTTTGCCCCAAGTTTCCAGATTCATCAAGTTGGTTCTCCGGTCGCCTTGTTCAGGATTGCTCATCTCCTCCTGGGGTAGCTCCGACGTCAGAATCTTCCACAACATTCGAACTGAACCCAGACTGTGACACTTAAGGAGGTGCAAAAGGGAAGGATATCAGAAATGAATGATGGATAAACACCTTGAGAGACCAATATGCAAAAAAACTGATGAGACAGAAAAGAGGAATACTAGCAAAGATTCTAGCAAAAGCAAAAATATGTAAAGATATTAGTAGAAATCCTTCAGAAGCTTCAGAAGAGAAACTAAAATAAAACCCGACTATGGAGCAATTCTATGGAATCACTTTCAATGGATTGGTCGAAACAGTCGCACATAGACATTGAATCACAACTTGAAGTCACTCAAGAGGCGAGAGAGAGAGAGGATATGAACCTCACATTTCAGGATTGGGAATAACTACTACATCAAGAATAAAGAAGAAACATTGAAACACAAGATGACAAGTAATACTGATGACATCTTGAATTTGACAGATGAAGATACAGACTAGTTTTGAATGAATACAGACTAAATTTGACAGACAAACAAATTGACCAAAACATTCTTTGACAGGTTAGACACACAGCACTGCAGAGATTGAGTTGAACTGTGCGCACAAGATAGGCAAGAATCTTAAGAAACGGAAAACGGTGAACTACAGCATCGCAACGCACGTCGACCCAGATAGAGTCAATGAAAACATCTGCGTATGAGAAGAAAAGCATAAAGTCAGTGCTGCCATGTTCAAGTTTCATAAGTCCATCTATACAATGAAGTGGATGTCGAGGTATTGGACGAATGTAGGACAATAGTACCCCATTGTAAGTCATTGAAAGCAAAGCAAGGGCAATAAACTCATCCTTTTGGATGAGCATAAGCGAAGCATTAATGCCAGAAAAACCTAGTCATAGCAAGCAACATAGATACACACACATTCCAGTGTTTAAAGAGTCCTATGTGTGGAGGCGATACACGGAAAAATGCCGTGTGAGTATATTTGCAGTAACAACTACAGCCTGTATTTGGTCAAAACCTATCAAGGCAAACATCTATTGTAAAATGAAGTTCAATCTTGTCTGTGAAAAGGCCAGACCCTCACTTGCACACCCGAAATTTCACTCACTTGCGCGCCCTCATCCTCTCTCGTTCTGGAAATAGCCACTGCACTCTCATCATTGTTCGCTGTGGGGTGCGGTGTGGTGGGATGGGACAAAAATGCTCATGTTCCTGTGCACACACAAGAACTGCAACCTCATCATCTTTCCTACTCTGGTGCAGACACAGGCGCTGCTCTTTCATGATCCGTTACCGGTGGGGTGGGGTGGGGTGGGGTGGGACAATAAAGTTCATGTTTCTGTGCACACACAGGCACCGCAACCTCATCAACTTTCCTACTCTGGTGCAGACAGAGGCACTGATGGCGGTGCTGTGGATGAGATCATGATGATGATGATGATGACGATGATGCTGATTGTGATGCTGGTGCTGTAGATGAGTTCACGATTATGATTATGATTATGATGATGATGATGATGATGCTGATGCTGATGGTGGTGCTGTGGATGAGATCACGATGATGATGGTGATGATGATGGTGATGGTGATGATGATTCTGATGCTGACGGTGGTCCTGTGGATGAGATCATGATGATGATGAAGAAGAAGAAGATGCTGATGCTGATGCTGATTGTGATGGTGGTGCTGTAGAAGAGATCATGATGATGATGATGATGGTGGTGATGATGATGATGATGCTGATGCTGACGGTGGTGCTGTGGATGAGATCATGATGATGATGATGATGCTGATGCTGATTGTGATGGTGGTGCTGTAGATGAGATCATGATGGTGATGATGATGATGCTGATGCTGATGCTGATTGTGATGGTGGTACTGTAGATGAGATCATGATCATGATGATGATGATGATGATGATGATGATGATGATGATGATGCTGATTGTGATGCTGGTGCTGTAGATGAGTTCACGATTATGATTATGATGATGATGATGATGATGCTGATGCTGGTGCTGTGGATAAGATCATGATGATGATGATAATGATGATGATGCTGATGCTGATTGTGATGGTGGTGCTGTAGATGAGATCATGATGATGATGATGATGATGGTGATGATGATGATTTTGATGATGCCGATGATGCTGATGCTGATGCTGGTGCTGTGGATGAGATCATGATGATGACGATGATGCTGATGCTGATGCTGATTGTGATGGTGGTGCTGTAGATGAGATCATGATGATGATGATGATGATGATGATGATGATGATGATGCCGATGCTGATGCTGGTGCTGTGGATGAGATCATGATGATGACGATGATGCTGATGCTGACGGTGGTGCTGTGGATGAGATCATCATGATGATGACGATGCTGCTGATGCTGATGCTGATGGTGATGGTGGTGCTGTAGATGAGATCCTGATGATGAAGATGATGACGACGATGATGATGATGAGGATCCCCATGATCATGATCATGATTTTCATGGGTGTACAAGTGAGGGCAAAAGTGGGTGTACAAGCGAGTGAAAATCGGGGTGTACCAGCGAGTGGTCGCCCCTGTGAAAACGTACTTGACGAAATTGATTGATTACGTTCACTGAAGTGAAGTATAAGAAACAAGTTGGCGGTTTGTGTCAAGCAGTGATTAGTGAGGACAATATTGAGACTCCAAATGCCCGAAACAATTGCCAATCTTGCACCTGGGTTACCTGAGAAGTCCTACAACAAAAAGACTACCAGCAGGGCATTTGACAATCTCAAGGGATCATTACAGCATCAAAAGACGTATGATAGGAGGATTTATATATGTAGTGAATAAGGCAGAATACGAGGAATACTATCCATGGAGTCATGGAGTGAATTAGAGAAAGGTTGGACTATTGAAATTGATGAGCAGGGAACACCATATTTTCAACACAAGCATGGAGCATCTAGGCCAGTAGCCTGTAATGGTCATGATGGTAAAATTGAAGATGACAAGACCTATTACTAATACTGTAACACGCAGAGATCTTCAAGAACAGAAAGAAGAGGCAAGACTACTAGAAATTCTATTGTGAGTGTCATCAAAGGCCGTTGCTGAATGGTTTAAGATGTACAAAAGAACTACTATTACAAAATCATGTAGCCGAAACGGCAACAGTTGTGTCAATACAAATTTTAAGATGTGATGTTATGTGATGATGTTGTGATGATTGTAGGTGATGATTGATGATGTTGACAGGTTTTTTCAATGCGATTTATGAAATGGAGGGGGATGATCTATTCATAGCTGCGAGCCCAGCCGGGCCAGCCCCGGGCCCCACCTTCACCAATTCTTCCAACTTGTTCTTCCAATGGCCGGCCTGGTGTTTGCTGCGTCTTGCTGCTGGTTTCAAGTCGACATCATCGACGTCCCACATACGCCGCACCTTCAGGAAGTCTTCGCAAGGCTTCGATTTCAGCAGTGCCTGGTGCGAACAGGACGACATGATGACATCTTCATGTGACATGTTCATGTGGCACGATTACAACCGGAGACAGGTTTGAAGGTGCTTAGCACCTCTGGCAATGTTGGACTTCTTTTTTGAGCAATATTGGTATATGTATTGAGAGTTGGTCGATGGGGAACGCTAATCGTCAACCAGGACAAAATGCAAGTGTCTTTTTATGGTTTCAAGGAAAATGCTGCTTTGTAGAAAGGTGGCCCGACACGGGGCTTGGGTAGAAATTGCTTGATCGTCCCACACCTCTGTGAAATATGAACACCTGTGGGTCTGCAAACAGTGTTCAAAATGCATCAAAATGCAAGGTCCGACTCAAATCTGGATTCTACCGAGAGTGACACAACTCACATTGGGAAGCGACTCACAACGGCCGTGAACAAAAGATAACCACGGAGTCGAAGGTCGCGCCTCGAGAACTGCTGTAGCATCTTCAGGACACGCAGCTTCAGTCACCTGGAGGATTAGAGCAGTGATAAAAAAGACAGAAGAAGACCATGCATTTGATAAATTGGCACCAGCCCTACATTATCGCTGGAGCCAACTGCAATGCGCTAGTGATGTTTGGCTTGGTGGGGTTTAGAATGTTTAGCTCCACATCGTCATCCCAAAAACTATCGGGACAGTGGTTCCAACTGAAAATCAGTTGAGGCAACGTGTCCAAGTCATAGGTGACCATGGCTGGCAATAACCAGTCTTCCAAACCATCGAAGAAACAGCAACTTAGGCGATCTGTTGAGGCAGCCCGATTGTTGATCTTGGACTTATGACTGTCAGATCTGATTCCAATCCTCCGAGAGCGCTGCCTGATCCATAGCCATTTGGAAGCCCCACTCGTCAACCTCAAATCCGAAAGACGGCAGATCTTCGGCAGCATCTCACAATCCTTCGGATAATTTCACACCGTGGCCTTCATGGGCCCTTCACCAAGCTTCATGTTGAGTCTGGACTTTCTTTCACCATTCTGAGATCAGGACCTCCATCACCTCTTCCACTTCAGCTTTCTCCACTTTCTCCACTTTCTCTGCTTTCTCCTTGTCCTGTGCCTTGCCACAACAACCCAAATTTGTTGAATCTTTCAACCTGCTAAACTTCAATCAAATACAGTGAACCAAACACAGCTTTGGAAAAATACAATGACACAATCGATCACAAAGGTGTCTCTACCTTCAGGAAATCCAATAAAATCAAAATAAGCCGCCTGATTCAGCGGGCACGGGCTTTGGGGGTCCAAACTTTTTTTGCTTGAAAAACAAGGGAAACCCAAGCACTTCTTTCGGCAGTGGCGCGGCTTGCAGTGCCGGTCCTTCTTGGCACAGCTCTCACCTCAGCGCTTCATGTCTGGTCGTCCTTGTGTCTGGTGACCGTAGGGCACCAAAGAAAACTGAAGCAGCACTTTGTCTCTTTAGTCACTGGAAAATCGCTGAAGCAAGGCGTTAAATCTGTTAACGGCAATGCAATGCGAATCTTCTGCTGATTCGACATGACGCCGTGATCATGATGATATGCCAACAAGGAACCGTAGAGTTTCGCTCATCTCATGGCAACTTCACGACCCTGTGACCTTCAAGGCTCACTTTTCTCTGAGCTTCTTACAGAGTGGTTTTGGGGCTGCTTGCATGGCACTGGGAGTCAGCTTTTCCACCTCAGCTGTAACTCCACGCATGGGATGCATTTCATGAAAATAGCTAAGCCATGCTAAGCCCTCTCATAATTTATTCTCATAGGGATGACACACTTCCAAAGAGGCACATTGAAACCACAACACCACATGGGGGGCGTTCACCCAAGTGCCCGGGCCCAGCCCATGTGTTGACCACACTCTGAACAGAAACGTGAGGTGCCACGAATGGCTGTCAGAAGGCCTAGGTGTCACAGGTGTCACAGGTGTCACAGGTGTCACAGGTGTCACAGGTGTCACAGGTGTCACAGGTGTCACAGGTGTCAAATGTCTGTTGAGGAAACCTTCATGGCCAGGTAATAGTACGTAGTAATGTAATATAATATATATATATATATGAGTACGATTCCACCTTAGTAATCCTCTCATGACTGCGACAACTCCGGCTTGGTAGCAAGTGAACATGATCTGGCTAGGTCATCCTGAAAAATATCATCCTATTTCAAGATATTTCAAGATATTTCACGTGTTTTGACAGCTGCAACTTGGCCCCAAAGCCTGGTGGTTTGGAGTCCTCTGATGAGCTCGAGATGTTTTCACCTCATTTTCGCCAGAGATTTGGTGGCGGATTGAAGCTTGTAGGTGATTGGGATATGTCTCTGCAATATGCAATCCATTGTAACCATCAGACAGAAAGATCAGAAAGACCTGAAAAAAGATATTCCAAAAATTTTCAAATGGATTTTTCCATTTCCAAACCTTTCAGTACTGTGATGTGTGGAAGGACTGTGGAAGGATTTGGCAAAATTTAAGGCCCCTGACCTTCACTGCTGTCGCTTCTGGACAGGAGACAAACGAGACAAACGAGACAAACGTCTCGTTAAAGGACTCTGGCTTTGTGCTGGGACTTGTAGGATCCCAAATACGATCTTCTAACGAGATCGAACATGCATTGATCATCATTGATCATCATTGATCTACACAAAATGGTGCAACAAGGTCATGATAGCCAAAAAACAATGCCTTGGGTTGCAAGTGCTGAGATGTTCGTGATTCCTGTGCGTCATTCCATTCATTTTTTGTCTGGTTCTATGCTCTGCCGTCGCGGATCTGACCATCAAATCCATATTATGTAACATAAATGCATCAAACAAGGGGATGTGGAGCACCTGAACACCCTGTACTGCCGCAGGATCTACTTAGTCTACTTGGCATCTTTGCGCACAATGGCATCAATGACCCTCTAGCCCTCCTTGAACTACTGGAGCTCTTGTTTTTCCTGGCAGCTCAAAGGAAGAGCCATCCATCAGCCTTTTGGACCCATGGACCCAGAGATTCGCATGTTTTGAATTCCTTGGCAAAGCCACCTCTACCGAGGTAAAACTCATCCGATTTGGTTATCCAGTTTGTGAATCCTTACAGAGTGAAACCGTCATTGTTAGAACAAAAACCCATCCAACCAACGGGGAATGCACGAAATCTTCCAACATTGCTCATTGCTTCAGAGGAAACCGATGGTTTCACAATGGTTTTGAGCACTCCAAATCTGTGAGACACCTGGAGCTGTTTGTTTTGAAGTTTCAACAGCTGTTGAACCACATCGCCCAGGACTCCCAGCCCATGTCCCTCCCTGTCAGCCCCTGTCTGCCTGCGCCCTCGACTTTTCCGCCTGCATTGCGGTGGTTCATGGGAAAGTACCACACCGAAAACCCACAATTTTGTGACCAACTTTGGAACGCAATCAATCCAAAGGGGGTGTCACCTGGCCAATCAAACAGCAGTAAACAGCCCCTATCCTTGTGTTTCTTCCAAAAACATGCGGGGTGATATGGTATCAATTGGTATCAATTGGTATCAATTGGTATCAATTGGTATCAATTGGTATCAATTGGTATCAATTATTGGCATCAAGATGTATCCCCCACATCACATCCAAGATTTCACCATTGCGATCCTGGAGGATCTTCGTCGCTTGTCCTGGAGCTGGACATCTCTGAATCGACACGGACACGCGCGACAAACTTTGCGCCGAAGGCATCACGGCATCACTAACTTTGCATCCATCACATCCCTGCCTTTCTCGAATGGCTATTTTTGCCTCAAAGTCAATGTCACTAGCGTGACTCAATCTTGGCCATGATTTCTTGTCAAAAGCAAACCCTTTTCGTCTTCAAATCCCTACGGATTTCTCAGAAAACTAATTCCCAAGCAAAATACATCGACTCTCTGCGTCAGCCTGAAATTTGGTGTAGCGATTGGAAGTTGCAGGCTTCACATCGCGGGTGACCTGTGGCAGCAGTGCCTCTGGCCTTGTATCACTAGACCTATTGGTTGTGATGTTCGAAGCCCTATAATGCTCTATACATATCCAGGGATCTGATTTTGACTCTCACGAATCTGACAATTCCAGCTGACCGATTTGGTGAAAGATCACTTCTATTAAAGTCTTCGGTCCGGTATCCCCGGCCTTCTTCATCACGTTCCAGACCCACGAGACATTGAGCATGGACAGGATGTCCACACCTTAGGATCTCCCACTGATGGGACCCAGGACTCCCAGGACTCCCAGGACTCCCAGGAACCCCTATCTGACTTCAAAGGTCATTGTTGAATTCCAAAGTGATTGAAACACGCAATCACATCACGCATCAAAAGGTGCATGAGACACTTAAAAAATCCAGTCTTTTCGGCTGATTTTTCTGGCAACACACCTGTTCTCATTTGAAATGCCTCCCAGGCCGACCAGATTCGTCAAGAGACTTTCGCAGATCCAAAGTGCCATGAGTTTGGCCCAAATGTTCCATGCCTCAGGGAATACAGTGGGCTACAGGCAAGAATAGAAAGATCGAATATGATAGAATGATACTATCAATTGAAACCAAGACATAGTCAACAGTGGGGATCCAATGGGTGACATGTGATTCCTGAAATTGGCGGCTCAAATCTGTGCCCTTACAGAAGATCATGAAATCTACCAGACTTTTAGTTTGTAGCCCCGAGCTCTCCCAAACAAACATCCTTTCACCAATCCATTGAGTCAATCAAGGAATGTGCTGCGACCAACAACTCAGGCTCTCTGACACTCTGAGCGATCTTGGTACTGGTAGTACTGGTTGCTCAAAGATGAACTTTGCAAATTGGTAGCTCTGGAACTGACCCAAAGTGCTATTCAAGCCTAACAAGTTCTGATCTCAGCAGAAATCAGGGGCACCCCAGTTTATCCAACTTGACGAATCTTGTCCAGTCCATTAGGATCCGCGGTTCGAGCAGTTGAAGCAGTTATCAATTTCGGCTTCAATTTGGGACTGCGAAATGTCTAGCATTGATCTGCCAGGCTATAGTGCTGGGATGTATTGGGCTGGTGAGTGGTTCAAGATCTTGACAGTGGACTCCGTCGAAGGTTGCAGCTTCACCCTGCAAGCTCATCACCCTGAGCTCTGCACAAACTCCACAAATTGCGCGGCGCGAGATCTTCTCGAGCGTTAACTGCACTTCCTAGTGACGGATCTGGTTGTGGGGCTAGAAAGTGCTCAAGGCTATCCACATATTTGCCGACCACCAGAATCCACCATACAAATATCTGTTTGCCATGTGTGGAACCCGGACACAACTTTTGTTTTGGGGATTCTTTTGGAACACTTCATTCTTCATGTTTCAAAAAATAGGCCGTCCAAGTCCTTGTGGCTGTCGCGGGAACGGCTGGCGTTTCTCCTGGATTCGGACAAATTTGACCGACGAGTTGCACCTTCCCAGTGGTCAGCTCCCAGTTCCACTTGATCCGTGCTGTTTCCTCTGCCCAAACTTATGGTCAAATACCCCAAACTTGAAACCTGTCAGGTCATCCGATGCAATCCACTTCCAAGAGATAGTGATCGGCGACCCAGGTACCTGGAGTTGCGACGCCTCTTGCTTGCCTGGCCAGGTGGTCGTTCGTGCAACTGCATGGTGAATCTTGGATACCTGTCAAAAATCTAATTTTTAAGCATGTTTGGTACATTTTAATTACCATTGGTAGCAAAAGATTGAAGTACTAAAGTATCTAACCAAGGTTGACCCAGATTGCATCTACCACCCTAAAAGGGTTCAGGCACCGGGGTTTGCTTGTCACCTTTGCTTTCACTACAATCGTATCTGCCTGCTTTTCACCAAAGGAATGTTTTGAACATAGACTTTGGGTTGAAGAGTCATTTTCGTTCATTTTCTGCACTCACATTGTCGGACTGTAACAGTCTCGCTGTCACTTTCTGCAAAACCATGAGTGAAACACTTTAGGTTCCGGGGTAGAGCGAAGAAGACAGATCGAACGTAAGGGCAAGAGGTGACTACTCCAACAGAACAGGATATACCGAGAATCAAACTTCTGACAGATTCTGACAGATGGCAACCGATGGCAATGGGAATTTTCCCTTTTTCAGATTGTTTCAGATCGCCTGCCGTCGCCCTGAACGGCGGGATCGTCTAGAACCGCGGCTGCGACTGCGGCCGTGCCGGCGATGGTCCGGTGACCTGGCATTGGATCTGTGCTTGGCATATGGGTCCATATCAAATATATTGGGATATTTTAGGTGATAGTGAAGCACATAGCAGCTTACTAGCAGCTTACTAGCAGCTTACTAGCAGTTCTATCAGTTCAGGAACAAAATGGCACCTGCCACACTTCATCCAACTGATCATCCACATCCGAAACATGCTGGCCTCTTGCGACGAAAGGAACTCTTTGCCTGGGCCCAAGCAGCAATGGAGATAGCCTGGACGTCTGTTTATGTTTCCGTCAGAAGGATGAAATCCATAGGTTGAAATCAAGAACAAATCATGCACATGGTCTGTAAGCTGATCATTTCACAGTGACTTCATAGATCAACTCGCTTCCCCATTGCGAGGTGGATGGTTGTGGGGATTTTGATCTTGCTTCAAACCCGGTGGCTCAAACCCCAAAGATCCCTATTCAGTTGGATTTTTCCAGGAGTCGATATCTCCAATCTCTCAAGGTGCTTCATTGCCACAACTGTTCATGACATCCATCAAGTGAGCTGAGACGGGTACTGCAGCACCCGGAATCCGAATCGGAGCCTCCAAGACGGTTGCAGTCAAATCAGGAATTCCAAACCTTGGAATCCTTGGAATATTCCTGAAATTGTGCAAATTGCAAATATCAAATCAACAGTATGACGTGTCTTAACCCGCTTAA